TATTATTGGAGTAAGAAAATTTTCACTGACATATGCTCAATAAAAATTAATGGTCATGCATGAAATCACATTGGCTTGGAATCCAATTTGTTCTAAAAATGTACACACACAAATTTCCCCTTAAATTAAGCTTTTTCTCCCCGAGAAGGAAATAATATTTACTTAACAGAACAGATTTTGAATCCAACTATAAACCAGTGACAGCTTTTTCACTGACTTGAAGGGGCTTTAAATGGGACCTAATAACACCTCTACTACTCTTACAAACTAAAACTATGCAGCTTTCCTACCGAGTTGGAAGTACATGCCTGAAAGTTAGCAGAAACTGACAGAAAATGCAAACAGTAAACAAATAGCACAACAATAAAAAATACATAGTATGTGTGCATGCACATAGGTATAAACAAATATATATATTTAAGATATACGTGAACAAATAGTAAACGAGGTAAAACACTTTCAAACTTCTGAGAAGAAAGAGCAGACGCTGTATTTTTATAATTAAGGATGTCTGACTCAGTTCTCTTAAAAAAAACCTTTAACTGGGCAACTACAAAGCTCTGCGACAGTGTTCCTTGCTGAGTCAAAGGCATGGCTCACATGTGCAGATTTGCCAAAACCTGCCTTCCTTAGCCAGCAGAAGTATTTCAAGGTGGAATTCCTTGTTAATGCATTCAGACTCAGCTCTCATCATTTATGACAGCAGTGCATTTGATTCTTAGAAGAAGCAGTGGCTTGTACACTTTCAGCAGCATAAATGTCCTTATTTCCAGTGGCAGGGTGGGGAAGGGGGGGTGGAGGGAAAAACTGTATCTTTACACATGCAAAGGTCATTACCCATCCTATTCACTGTCCACACCCTGGAGCTTGGTTTGGAGGCAATAACAGCCCAACATCACTGTAACAATATTACATAACAACGTTCCAGAGATAAGCTTACAAAAGGTATAGCACTCACCATTCTTGCCATTTACAACACAGGCTGCACTTACTGTGTCAATATACATTTTTAAAACATGGTCTTTTAAAGCCGCCACTCAAATGTTGATCAATTTGAAGTAACCTCCGTAAAAGTACTACATTCCTTTCAAATATATTAATATTTGTATTACACTCCTCTAACATGGCAAAGTGTAAAAACATATTACAGACAATATCATGGTATAAAGACCCAGTTTCAGTGAAACTCATTGCAGTTGCTATACTAGAAAGTTTACTTCAAACCTTTGCCCTAGCATTGCTGTTTCTCTATCAAATCTATTCAGCCCACACAATTTATTAGCTCTTCCTGAAAAGTTACTCTCCTGCCATTGATAGCAGCAGGCCACCTGCCTCTGCTAATTAGCAGCGCCATGCTCAGTTGCAGCTCTACAAGAAGAAAATGGATTGGCTCTTCAGCTAGTGCATTTTGTTCTAGAAGACCAGAAGCTGTTGAATCTGCGTCTTACTCCTTCAGAAAGGTTTTAAAACTTACTACACTGCATGGTACCTCAGATGAGTGCTGCTAACCTGTGGCTAAAATTCTCATTTTTCCTAAATCTTCTTAAAAAGAATTCTGTAAGCCTCAACTATTCTAGACAGATCCATGATTTCAGCACTATTTAAACACACAATTAACATTTTAAAATTATACACATAGATAAAAACAGGTATCATTAGTCACTTATTAGTCACCTTCAAAACAAGCAGCATGTTTATTATGTTAATGTCATTGGAGTGTTTAAAGCAACCTTTTGCATTTGAAATGGAGGCTCTTGGTAAAAGGTGGCACTTAATAAGAAATGGCAATTACTGATGCATGTTACTCTCCAGAAGACTGCAGTATGAATTTTAGTTTCTTCCTAACCATGTATCAGCTAAGGCTAATACAGCCATTTTAGTTTAGAAGCAGTAGGAAGTACAGTAAAAGTGAAAACCAAAATAAGAGACAACACTAATCTCTAAGTTTCAATTAAGGCCCAGCACCTCTGGATTAAAGGCTTATTTTAATGAAACGCCTTAATTAAGCATACATGTGTATAGGATCACCTTAATGAGGTATGACAGAAATAGACGAGACAGCAAACATTATTTTAAAAGAAGCTTATTAGCAACATTAAGAAACTCAGTCAAGGATTCTTAAAAAAAAAAATAATGCAATACTGAAAAGACACAAGAAAGCTGGACCAAGTTCAAGCATAAAACAGTGAAACCAAAATAGGTACGAGAGGTATTTTTCAGTATCTTTGTATTCAAATTAATACATACTAGTGATTTTTCTATACATAATGGGTTTATTTTTGCAAATAATAAAGCATTTACACTTTCATTTAAATTTTAGACAGCAGAAAAACAAGTTTTCTACTTTATTTGCAGATTAAAAATCTTTAAAAGTTTATATTGTAAAATATCCCTTTATGGTATTACTGAGTCAGGTCTGGTGTCAGGTTAACTTGCAAGTTCACTTTAAAAACAATTATTTTATCTTTTTATTCCTGTCTTTAGAAACAATCAGTGATTTAATGTAATTTTAAAGATAGCCACTTCAGTTGCTTTTTACATCTTCCCCTACAGTACACAGAGGTATTCTCATTTGCAGATTTGACTTTAAAGTAATTACTTATAATTACAGAGAAGTGCATCCAGTGGATTAATCATTCCATTTATACGCTGCTCGAAGGATTACTCTCAGGACAGCCTCACTGCTTTTGCTTGGAAAATGTCAGTTCCACAAGAAAACAAATCTCTCAAGTCAGTAGCAGCTGAGAAGGATTCTGACAACTATTTAAACCCAAAAGATTAAAGAAATGGCACACCTGGACTTGAGGCAGCATCTGTAACTGTCCTCCTCTTGGGAAATAAAGGGTCTCCAAGTGAGAATAACCAGTAAAATGGCCAGAGGAAGCCTACACTCCTACTAGGGGCTAGAAGCACCTTTGCACAGTTCTGGATCTGAAAGAAACACATCAGTGCTTATTAAAAACAAGGGCAGTGCTTCTGTCTCAGGAAGCCATGCTCTGAAGCCTGGGAATTCCCTGAAGGAGCTGCTGCTGTACACTAACCCCGGTCTTACAGTCTCCCCAAGCCATCTGCTTTTTGCCATGGACAAAGATGGGACACTAGGTGACAAAGATCTTTGGTTTGATCCATATGGATACCGCTCATCTGTTCTCTTCATATAGAACTATTTTTTTAAATGGTGACTCTACAGAGTTGCCAAAAACACAGGTCACCCAGAATGGCAGTGACGTAGCTTCCCTTAAAATTTAAGGTCACTAGTGTGTAACTTAAAATGGGCCACCCTGACTTTGCTAAATGGAGGGGGAAATGTAAACCCCCACCCCCCCCAGCCATGCTTAGGAAGAGGTGCAGTCACGACTACCAAAATAATCACCTTAAAGGTGTTTTTCACACCAGAGCCACCCATGACTGAACTGATCCCCACTGGATCATAGATCAACAGCCAAGTGGCACTAACGCAGTACATATAGTGACTCAGTGTTCACCACTAACCAGGGAGGCTACTGGAGGAAATGGCCGAAGACTGTGCACCCTTGCCACCATCACTGGTAAGTTTGAGAAGCTGGAGAGCTCTGCTAAAAGGCCACTGCTGAAGGAAGTCCTTCCACATATGATAATCGCAGGGCCTCCCTCTCATCTTACTACCTGCCAGGTTAAAAACAGCCCTGAAGTTAAAAATACATATTAAAAATTGAAAAATGCAAAGTCAAAAAGAGTCTTCGGCTCAAAACGCACGGGGGGGGGAGGGGGGGCCCTTCCCTTAATGCGCACTACCAACCCCCGCGTTACAACACAGACGCAGGAGCTGAAGGGGAAAACACTAACCAGCGAGGACAAGATACAGGAGAACACACAGCTTCGGCGTCGGGGTAAAATCAGCAACGAGCCACTCGCAAGGGGGTCCCTACGAGCGGCCATCGAGGCGGGGCCAGGAGAGGCGACGGCCCCCTGAGGCGAGGAAGAGGAGAGGAGATGGCCGCCTTCCCGCGCGCCCACCCCGCCTGCGCAGCCGCCGCAGCCTCCGTCGCCACGCCGGGGAGCGGCGTTGCCTGGCAACGCGGCCCTGGCCGCGGGAGGCGCGGCGGTGGCGGCGCCCGCTGCCGAGCCGGTGGTCTAGAGGTCTGTGAGGTAAAAAACGTGCGAGAGGTAAAAAAGAGCAACAAGGCCACGGGCAGGGGCCGGAGGAAGGCCAGGAGCAGGGTCGGCGGTGCCGTGAGGTGGCCTGGCCGCGTGGCCTCGCTGGCTGGCTGGGCGCGACGCCCTCATCCCGCCCGGGGACGGCGGTGACTCCGTATGAGGGGCGATGGCGGCGACAGCGGTGCCGCTCCGGGCACCCAGAGGTGGAAGGCAGTCTCCAGGCGTAGGTCGGGGAGCACACGGTTGGCTGCGGTAGCGGGAGGAGCACGCTGAAAGAGAAGGGGGTCGTGTTGTGAGCGGTGGCTCCCGTTTGCCACAGCCAGCGTTAAAGGGTGTTCCCTCACCCTCTGCCAGCCGCCTCGCCGCCACACGCCGCAGGTGTTGCTGCTGTAGCGGTGAGGATGTCGAGATGGCAGCGGAGCAGCTTCAGCCCCAGAGGAGCTGCTAATGTCATCCTTGCTCTATGTATCATGGGCTTCCTTGTCGACAATAAACTAATCTGGCAGAACGGTTCAGTGGGGTTTATTGCTACGGCTATATTTTTTCCTCGGTTCAGCTTGAAATCTGTGATTACTGCCATTCATTTTGAAGCTATTCTTTGTCCATTATGGGCAGTCCATCGGGCGTGAGATGAGGCTGACAGGAGAGGGGCACAGTTGGTGGTTTATGGATCCAGAGGTAACTTCTGTGCCTGGAATACATGTTAAGCTGTCTCCTGTGGTAGGCCTGGGAGAAAACAAGTGAAAATAGGTTTCTCTTCTACTATTGATGAGGCTGTTTCTGCTTAGAAATATTATTCAAGTTCTTGTATGTGTCCGTTTGTAGAGCCACGTGACTGTTGTAAAATCAGCTAAAGATTATCAATGGAGCATCATGATTTTCACAAGGTACAATTTCACATCTTTTAAAATAAGGCAGAAGGGTGGGGAGAAATGGAGGAATAGGTAGATAAGCCCATTCCCTGTATAAAAATAATATGTTCTTATTTATATTCAGTGTTCTGGAAGGCAAGGTTAGCCTTTGGGATTGTTTTTAATGATATTGAAGTAAAAATGTGTTTGGGCATGCCAAACTTTTATACTCCATAATGAGTTTATTGCATATAATAATTATGGGCTCAGTAATTAAAACTTTAAAATTACTGCTATTTTATTTAATATAAATGATAAATCAAAGATTTCATTTGACTTTTTATAAGTTAAAACCCGGATGTGTCAGAAACATCAATCTTAAATTTCATATTATGGTAATTGTATGTTAGGTTTCACGTACGGGAGTTGTATGTGTATAAAAGCCTTTGACAAGTCAAAAACATTGGCTAAGAGCAGAATTTCTTTTAATTTAGTATAATATATATATGTTTTTAAATCATTTATAACAGTAATTATTCAAGGGTGGGTTTTTTTTCTTTTTAGGGCCGCTCCTCCAAACGAGAGACCATAGCAGTTTCTGCAGTTGCTTTACAGGATCATATAATACACAGTCATCAGCTCCAGGATCTTTCATTAGCAGATCCTTTTAAGTCAAGGACAAGGAATACCAAGAACATTTACAAACCCGTGAACAAAGAAATGGTCAGAGCAGTAGTAGATACTGGACTAAGAAAAAAGAGCACTCACCACAAAAACAAGGAAGATGCAGAAAAGGAGTATGTTCTTGATCCCAGTCCTCCACAGCTAACGTTAGGTAAACCATTATATTCTGATTTGTGAATTTTTGTTTTTATTTAAAATAAACTGAGGAAGCTAAGCTTCCTGTTGTAAGATAATTTAATGCTAAACAGCATAAAATCTTGTTTTAACAATTGACAGAATTCAGCAGTTTGGGCCATCAGGTAAACAATGGAATTGCCATTAGTGGCTTGAATGTGTCTTTTCATATCTGAAATGTATTAAAAAATACTATTCTTTTGACAATGAAGGTAAAAAATGAAGAAGCTAGTGCATCTTGATGAAGAAGAATTTTTCATTAAGAGGTGGGAAGTCTTTTACACTTTTTTTTTTAATATGTTTTGTATATTGACTGTCATCTTTCTTTACCTTATATTCTCAAGCAAACATCAGTGATTTTGATATTGTATTTATTTGGGGAAATGTTTTAGTATTAAGATTATTTTTTTTTAACTCTGTTTGAAATGGTTTGTTTTATTCCTTATTCAGTAAAAAGACATTTACTAGTGCTGCATAAAATGTATTCTTTGATAATATATACCCACGTTTACTCAAAGTTAAAAAGGTTTATTTTTACAATGGTCCTGGGGCTAAACCCGGGAAGAATTAACACCTGTAGTTAAATACCTTTTTCAAATTTAGAAGCAAACATGCAATAAGATAAAAGTCACAGATGTGAGGGCTTGGAATGATGCCTGGTGAGAAAACTCACTTTTAAATAGTATTATAATAATACAGTTGTACAGCAGTGACAGACAATATTGCTTAAAAAAACAAAGCCAGGGAGCATCTTAACAGACCAGGAGTCCAAATGTGCTTCCTACCTATCAGTTTCAGTCTTGTATTTCCCTTTTCTAAAGATTTCTACAGTATTCTTGCCATGAACATCTTCTCGTCTCCATCCTTTCGGTTGTCTTGATTAGGTATTTCTTAAAGGATCTTCTGGCTCCACAATTTGCAGTTTTAAGCGTAATAAACTTTCATCTTCATTAATAATTGTTTTATTTATTCTTTTTCATAAAAGTGCCCTTAGGCCTCTCTGAAGATCATGTTGCCTTTGCTATAGTAACTGTCACAGTAGTCCCAGCTCTAAAGAGAACCATGTAAATCAATGAGGCTCTGTACAAGCACAGGCATCTGCCTTTTGGAATCAGCTGAAGGTTAAGAGGGTAACTTAAGATAATACACAACAAGTGTGTGTAACAAGTGATAGGACAAAGGTAGTAAGACATGGTGATTATTACTATGTTTACATGGTTATAGTTCTAAAGATGGGAGGGTTTTTTCTTTGGTTCGTTTTGAAGAGGAATTTGAAAGAAGAGAGGATAGTGGGGGGAAGAAACAGCAGAGGGGTACGGGGGTTAACGCAAATATAAATAATGAATGATTATGGAAGCTAAAGGTTGTGGTGAAAAAATGCAGCCCAAGTGTGAGCATGTTCTCTGCAATTATAAGAAAGGCGAAGTATTTTCTCTTTAAATCACAGCATTGACTGAAATGTCCCATATGAATGCATGTGCAAGTGATTTGAAAGAATGTGCTGAAAGATTTTTAAAAATTGCAATTGTTTCTGGGTTTTGCTTATTAGTATTTTCACCTGTAGACTCACATTATTTTAAAATGCTTGTATCAAGCTTTCTCTTCTTAACAAGAATTGTGTGGTTTAAACCTTACAGCTGTGAAACAAGTTTGAAAATGTAATTTAATGCAACTTTTTCTTCTTGAGTTTGTGGGTAATCAAACAAAATCTCACAGGCCTCTGTTATTAAATTTTTCTCAGTAGGGACTTGACTCCTAAAATCAAATAATAATAGTTTAAATGTTAATGTATGTAATCACTTTGCTAATGTGCATTTTAGGATAAATAACTCACTTGGTTGTAAGTGGGTGTGTCACTAAATGGGTTGGGCTTGTAAACTTGATGCATCAGGATGAAAACTCTTGGATGTCTTGAGCTGTGATAAATGTAGGCTTTCATTGCTTGTATTTATTCAAAGTGCTGCTTTGAGAATCTCTTCATAGAGCCTTTTGCTTCAACCACGTATCCCTTCTTGTGTGTCCTGCTGCCAGTTTTCCTTCATCAACTATGTTGTATGAAAGCTTTCCTTCTAAACACCTGTATAACCTGTCCCTCACAAATACCCCATCTGGTTTATATTATTTAGAAGTTAGGTTTTGCCGCCAATCTCTTCCTATTTGGCAGCTTTAATCATCCATTTGTGAAAGTTTTAAATAAGCATTTTTTCTTACCCCGGGGGTATATAAAAGGCTTTCCACAAAGCCATCTCATTGTCTTTCTTAAAACAGTCTCTGACCGCAATGCTTGGAAGAAAATCAAGGGTAGGCATTTTTTATGTTGTGATACTGTCTTTCATGCTGCAACTGGTTTGCTATCTTGTTCACTGCCTGTGTATCCTGATTTTCTCATCATAAAGACCATCACTTGTGTATATTGGAATATCAAAATGGGATCTTGTTTCCTTACTCATTCACTGATACTCTTCCATATTACTGTCAGATGAAACTTTATATATGTTTTTGCTGAAACTTTTATTGTGTATTTTATAATTTGATTCTTCTTTTGTAGCAGAAACACTGATCTGTGCAATATATGCTCTTCAAGAGTTGAATGGTCAAGAGGGAAAGCACTCCTGGTTAGGAAAACCTCCTTGTCACTCAGCTACCAATTTCAGCAAATCATGCATAAGCTTTAAGCAAAATACACGTTCTGAACTAGTTTTTAGACTCTAAAAAGTTTGCAGGATCCTTCATATTTCTCTTAAAGCTCATACTATTTTTCACCATCAGGAGCACCAGATAAAAGCATTTTGCTGCACCAAAATTGATAGACAACGCTATTTTATGTTAATACAGTGTATATTTTACATTCTGAAATTACGATGCTGTAAATACATACGTATGCACTTTGCTGCTTGACACAGAGTGTTTTGAATTCTAGCCCATAGCCTGCAGGCAGAGCTGTGAGCTCCTGCACGCGTGGAGGTGCTGTATTTGTGTCTGGGTATCGAGTTGTCCGGGAACTGAAACAGCGTGCCTCTAAGACAATTCATACATGACCACCGATGTAATCTATGGCATTCATTGATTCAAATTATATTTTGATACTTAGGTTTACGTGCATTGCTTACCTTTGACTTGATACCTTTACTAGGGTAACAAAAGTAACAAGGTGGGGTCTCTGCAAACCAAACCATATGTAGAGAAAGCACTTTCCACGTTGTTCCAAAAGCAAAAACTGACCCAGCTTGAAATCTCAAAGCCATCCAAGATATGGAATCAAACTGATTTATGTTTGAAGGATGTCATGACCTCACAAGGAAGTAGGTTAGGCAGATAGTTCAACTAAAGGGAAGAAAGTATTCCTTATAATTCTTTTAGTACCTCACAAAAGTTCTTTAAAAAGATCAAAGACAGTTTTGTGCAAATTTTAAATGATTAATGATATACATCTGTAGATGGATGAGCTCAGGAGCAGAATTTTTGTCTCAAAAATTAACAAATCCTATCCTAGAATAAGGAGATACTCAAGCAAGTGGATCACCAAAACCCTATTCTTTGGTTTGTTAGGATTCCTTTTCTCTTCCTGACTGATATGATGGTTTGGATACACAAGCTGTCTGATGGGGTTTTGAAAGCTTATACAGAACAAGTAAGGGCTGCTTATTATTGTCTGGTTTATGCAGAGATTTTGGTATGAATGAAAGAGTTGACCTTTTCCTTCCCATTTAGCACTAAAACTATCATCTAGGTGTCATCAGCTTGCATTCTATTGCATGTCCCTCTTCTGTTACTGTTTTAGCAAATACCATTGAGGCCTCATCATGGACTCGTGTTACTGGCTTATTAAACATACCTTGGACATTCCTGCATTGACTTCAGTCAGTCCACACAAGCTGCTTCCTCTGGTCTTCAAAGATGACAAAGATCTATTCTTTGCCATACCTACTAGCATCTTTCTTTACTACTGAGATACTGACACTGGACTTTTATCTGCCATTTGTGGGGGCATAAGTATTTTCACTGATTCCTTGTTTGAGAAGGCAGAGATTTCACATGGACATACCAGCAAGGCACCTCACAGCTATCATTTGAGATCAAGAAGCTCAGGTATCACAGTGACACTATCACTGGTAACTTGTGACCATCTCTTTGTTTCTTTATGCTCTTTATTTCTCTTGCATCTGTCACAGTCTCATTACACATTAGTATTTTGCACTAGCAACAGTTTTCATTATACGACCTCATTAATTTTTATTTTTATTTTAAGAATACAAAAATGCAATGTTAAAGAAACCTTCACAAATGAATTCTTAACAGAGATTGTCTTTACGCTGATGATTTGAAATGACACTGTTGTGCATTGTTACATTGTCTAGTCAATAATCCCCATGTTACCGGCTGTGAAAAGGTATCAAAATAAATACAAATTACTTGGCAAATAAAAGTTTACATTTAAAAAAATTTCCTGTATAAATCCTGTATGCAAAAGAGGTACTGACAATCACTGAATAACTAACTAATAGTAAGAAGTATGCTGCCTGCCAGTGGTTTGTCTGATGATAGATTTATATGAAGTATCTGTATAAAGAATTTTTAAGTAAGCTTATTATCGATGAATTTCATATGAAGAAAATCCATTGTCTGCATCTGCCAGTGGGTTTTATTCAGTGATTTGTTGTTGTTATTGTCTACAGCTCAGAAATTAGGCCTAGTTGAGCCTCCTTCCTTGCCACTAACTGCTGAAGAATGGGTAAAAATAAGGCAGAGATCCATACAGCATGGAGACTCCGTACAGCCTTGTGCAATATGCAGGGAAGAATTTGCACTTCAACCTCAGGTACATGTGTAACTGTATAATTGTGTGGACTACGCAACTGCATTTAACAAAATTTTTCCAGAGTTACTGCTAAAAATCATTAGCTGGAGGAAGAAAGGGAAGAAAGATTCTAGTGTAAGACACCATTTAGCATTTAATAGCTGGACCCTGCTGTCAGTGGCCAACTCTGAAAGCATTTTGGATGTGATGTGGTAGAGAAAGGTTTGTAGTGTTTGTTCAGTTCTGAAGTTATGACAGTAGAAGAGAAGGTAATCGGCCTTTGTATCTGTTCCTGCAAAGCAGGTATCGGCTATTTTCTGCTTCATTTAAACTCCTGTTAGATATGATCCTAGACTTTATTCATCAGAATGGTAAATATTCACAAATTATACAATTTAAGATATATTTTGTTTTCTCACAAGTTTTGTTAATTGCAGTTTACTTCAATTGTTATTTCTATTTGGAAAATGGAAGTAGGTGTACTCTTAATACCAGTCAGTCGCTTCCTTAGGTTATCTGAAGAAATGCTTGCATTTTACCATGATGGCTTTATTCAATGCATGTGTGTAGCATAAGCATAAATACATAGATTCTGTCATCTATCATCTTGAAAATATTAAGCAAAAGGGACAAGTGACTGATTGAAGAGGAGTGCTGCTTCAGAGAGGTGATGATGGTAATTGGAAGAATTATTCCAACTATTTGCAAGTTTCTTTCCACAGTGCATTTTAAGATGGTTTTTTTCCTGCTTGTTTTCCCTTTTAATTTTTCTTGAAGACTTTTTACAGCCAAGTCTGTGATGTGAATCAAGGTCTTTTGATAACCTTAGATACAGAGCTTTTGCTTCCTTTTACATCAACATTAACTGGAGGTGTACAATTGTCCACAGGCAGGTGGGATGGATCTGGCAAAAGACCATTCTGCCAATTTCTGGCTACTCTGAAAGTCTAAAGCTTGACAAGAGAGAGCAAAAGACAGCACTCATTAAAAAGGTTACTTTAGATTTGGCACAAAAAGGGAAATGCCTCTGGAATTCTTTTTGTCCTCAGTGTTTCGTTAGCTTTCCTCCCTCAAGGGAAAAAAAGCCACTGTATCTGAAAGCTTTCCCTTCAGCTGGCTGCTAGCCATTAATCCTTTTGTGTTTGCCAGCTCAATAGTGCACACTACTTGTTCTGGTTTTCACTCCTTTCCCAGTTTTTCCTTCCCTAAGAGCCAACTGCTTTTTTTGTCCAACTCTGTATCTTTTGTCAGGATGAAGATCACAGCATTTGGTGGGAATTTAGGTCAGATAAAGGTGAAGTTTTCTTGTAGCCTGTGAACATGCTTTCTCTTTTGTTTTTTTTTGTATGTGTGAAATGCTGCATTTGATGTATATCACTTCTTGAAATTTAACGTCTCTGTGGGGAAAAGGGAAAAAAATTAATCAGCTTTCATTTTAAGTACTTGTTTTATAATCTTTTCCTCCAGTCAGTAGCAGTTGGCATTTCTTGCTTTCTGCCACTCCATGTGTTGTTAACACAAAGTTCACACATTGGCTTAAGATGTAATATATTAAGTAATTTGTATAGAAGACTAATTTTATTTTCACCGGAAAGACTGCAGTAGTAACAGAAAGAAACTGATGACCTTTCAGGCAGTCAGAATTTTTCTTGTCAACATTTTTTACTTTTCAGCTTTTAGCATGGTTTAAAGTCAGGTTTGGTTGATGGGTTTTTTTCCTTTGAAAAACAGGTGCTGCTTTCATGTTCCCATGTATTCCATAAAGTGAGTACATTTTTATATAACTATTCAGGCACATAATACATGAGTATTTTAATTCAACTACTTAAGTGAATATCTTAATGAATTAAATGTAATCATCTTGAGAAGTAATTTTGATTCCAGATTTTTATGATAAGAAATATAAATAAGACTATTTTATGATGAAGCACTTTATTTCATTTTATTACCTTTTTTAAAACCCTATGGGAAGACATAGTTTGTAACTGAGCTATTCATTTCTATACTAAGCAGGAATAGTTTAATTCATGAAATTTCATGTGAATATATGGAGATCTACAAAATTGTCTTAACATTTTAATTATAAAAATGTGCTTCCTGTAGAGTATTCATGGATTGATGAATAAACTGTTTTTACATTCTGTAATCTATCCTGTTTCATCTGTTCCAATGATATGAAATATATTGTAAGTAATTGCAATTATTTTTTCAGGCATGCCTGAAAGCCTTTGAAAAATTTACAGGTAAAAAGTCTTGTCCTATGTGTAGAAAAGAGCAGTATCAGACCAGAGTAATACATGATGGGGCACGCTTGTTTAAGATAAAGTGCGCTATTAGGTAAGCCTTACTTCTGCTACAGGTGTTGTCACTGGACAATATTTATCTCTAAATAATGCTCCAAATGTGTTAAAACTTTAATATAAGAAGAAACTAGACAGAACAAGTGAATGCACTACAAAAGTTAAAGTTTTTAAAAAATTCATAAAATGATTGTTTCATGTAAATAGTAAAATTATATAAATTCAAGTTTCCTCTTCTTGAGCAAAATTGTGTCTTACAGAATTCAGGCTTCCTGGAGGGGATATATTGTTAGAAAATGGTATAAAAACTTGAGAAAAACAGTGCCTCCTAAAGATAGCAAATTAAGAAAGCAATTCTTTGAGAAAAAGGTACGTTGCATTTGCTTCTTTGGTCTGATTTCAGCTCCCTTAAATCAAAACTCCTGAATATCAGATCTCTACCTTTTCATTTATTCTTTCTTATTCATATCAAACAGGCAGCACTGGAGGTGCTTGGTTGTTCTGTTAGTCTGTTCATTCCATCCTCTTTACAATGTAGAAGTAAGGAAAATTATTTAAATACTTAATTCTAAGGCCTGCCTTTTGCCTAGGCCAGCAATAGTGGGCTTTTTGTGAGGCTCTGTACTTCACTTCTCTTTTTGATAAATCACAGTAATCTGTTTTCCTGTAGAATTATATGAAGGGGATATAGTAAGGGGAGAAACAAATAAATCCATAAACAATCATAACTTCTTTTCACTTTGTTCTCTCACTGGACACTGAAGTAGGTGGTTCCATTTCATAGCTTTGCCCTTCTCTACCTTCTGCTCAGATGCAAGTCAGACTGTAATAAATTAGGGTCCTGACCCCATACAAATGAGGCCAAATCAGGTGCAAGCATTTTGCAATGACCCTGCTTGCCTTTAAGCACACAGCTGCTGCTGAGGCCCTGTGCAATCCTCAAGTCCTCTTTTGCCAACTTCCAGTCTCCCCCCAGTTTAGTAACAGCCAGCCCAGCTCAGCTTTTCAGGAACAAAAACTGCTCTGGCACATCCTCAGCAATTACCAAACCGTCCCTCAGGGAGTGAGTGAAGCCATCTTCTGCTCCAGGTTACCAAACAGCCTGGTTAATAGAGATTAACAAAGCCACACAAGACAGCCGTTTAAATGTAGCTAGTGTGTGCAGCTAGGAAAATACTCTTACCCAAGTTGCAAGCTAAATCAGTGGCAGGTTTAAACCAATACTTAAATTGGTGGTTTGGGTGGTTTTTTTAAATCACTGCTTTAGTTAAACAGAAGAGTGCTTGCAGAAAAAGGCTTGTTACTGTCACTATTTCTCATGCTTAGTTGGTTGTATCCAGTTCAAGGACAGCTTTGGAGGCAAAGACCCTCCCTTGCTATATTACGCATTTATGTATGATAGTGAGATTGGTACCTTGGAGGTGATCTGGCAGACTGTTGCAACAAAACTGGTACTGCTGTTTTGCTTGTGTGGTAACAGTGGCAGGGGAGAGAGGAAATACTGTTCTCAGCCTTAACACCCAGACAGCTTGCTGGTTGCTATGCTACCTTTGTAATCAATGCAAAGTCCTTCCCTGAAACGGAGAAAATGAATACGGAGATAACTGAAAAAAGCTAATGTTACACTTGAAAGTGCTTAAACACTTAAGTTTGGAAGAAGTGAACCCTTCAGTGGATTGTGACTGTCCTCAAGTAGAACGATGAGAACAGACAACAGAAACAGAGATTTTTCTGCATGGAAGACTGGGGAAACAGTTGTATGCTTCTTTCCCGATAAGGCTGTCAATTTTCTGTGGGCTCAAGACACCAGGGTCTCAGTAAAGGAAAGTTGAAGAAAGCTGCAACTTTCAGCATATTCAGAAGCTGAGTGTCATTTGTTAAAATTTCTCTCACCGAACTTCAGATGGCAGTCTACCAAGCTACCTATAATGGGTTAGCTTTTAGGGCCCCTATCTTAAATACCTGTTTTAGGGAGAAACAGCCTGATAGAGTGCCCATATTTCATCACATGATTATAAGCTATGGGAAGGTCTTCATTTAACATAGTTTCTATATATAGCCCACAGCATTAGGAAATCATTCTCATGTGTAACACTGCAGGATTTTGCAGGGAACAAAATGAGCACTGCTTTTTCACCTTCTATTAAGAATAAATTTCTAAAGTCTTCTCATATGGATTATCCAGGTTTAAATGAATTTGGTACCAACTGTGATTAAAGGATATATACTTATTTTTCTTAGTGGCTTTCAAGTGGGAATTGTAGATGAGTTTTCCTGCTGTTTGTTCTTATACTTTTAAGTGTTGGTTAATGAAAACACTAAAATTTTTCATAAGGAGCTATCCATTTCCAGATGCTAAAAAGCCTTTCTAAAATAAATTTTGCCTCTCAAACTTGTGCTGTGCTTTTAAAATGTCACTCCCTAAACATTAGCATAATCAAGTGGCATCACAACTGGAAAAAAAAAATCTAATTTTTAATAACCCTACCTCCTCTGGAAGGATCACAAAGGTTAAACATCAAGTTTCATACACTTAAATAAATATCACAGAATAAAAACCAAGGTCTGAAATATTAGTACTAGGAAGGACACATATTACTTGTTTCAGGGTGCTACAGTAGCCCTTATTACATCTATTATTAAAATTTTTTATAATCTAGATCAAAGGAGATAAGAAAGGTCACCGAAACCAAAGTAGGCTACTTTTTAGCACTACTATACACAGAAAGCATGGTGTTGCTTCAGCATGTTAGGTAGTGAATTTCTTTGATCCTACCTATAAATGTCACTTCTGTATGTCATTTAATTGTGGTATAGTCTTTTATTGGTGCAATTAAAACTTTTCAAATGCATTACATTATCTCCAGCTTTGCTAAAAATCTTGCCATTGTTTAAGAAGCAAGGTAAGTCATTGTGAAATGATGTAGTTGACTTTAGTTTCTCCCTACCCCTTCCACATGATTTCTCCCAACGATTTTAATTTAAATCTCACCAAACAGTATAATGGTCCTGGAATTTGTTTAGTCGTTTGACTTCCTTTATCACACGGAGATGGTAAACATTCTGTTGCTAACTTGAAGTGGCTCCAAGCAGCAAAACTAGGAGGATATTAAACCAGTAAAAGCTTATCAACTGATTCATTGATATGCTGTAAATTCCAGCCTTTTCATTTTACTTTTGAGGGTTGCCATAAGTCAACACATTAGTAAGCAATTTGCTGACATTGGATCACTTAAAAAGGCTTCCCTGTGGACAAAGTTCACCTCGGTGCTTTGTTTCATCGTTTTATTTTATCATAGTCTTGTGCTGCTGTACAGATGACTGATGTAGTTTTGCATACTGGTAGAGTATTTCAGATATTCAGTTTATGCCATTCTATTCAAGTTTTAAGAAGTCACAGACAAAATATAGAGGTATGGTGTTTTCAGAAATAAATTAATCAGTTTCAGTTGTTCTAGGGAAAAAAGGTTATTCAGTATTATGCACTAAAACACAACAGGATTTAATATTTAAATCCTAGAACACGCTAACACTAACAGATTATACAAAATGCCTCTTTCTGTTCACGTTGATAGTTTGTGCTGATTTGCCAGTGAGCAAAAGTTTTGGGTTAAATTTCAGCTTTTTTTTTTTCTTCCCAACCTTAGACTTTATTTGCTGATTGATGGATATGGGTTGGGTCAGGTCATACTGCAGAAAATACAGGACTAGCTCAAAGCAGATAGTATCTTAGCAGCAGGGGAACTTAATAGATCACTGTCTCAGCCAGGAGAAGAGTTTTCCTCTCTTTATTTTTACAGTTTCTGCTCAAAGAGGCTCATGAGAGGACTTTCAGGATCACTTACTGAAATGGGGAAGAGAAACACAAGTGCAAGCTCAGGGAAGAAATGGAGGGCTTCTTCCTGCGGAGGGAAAAAGGAACAAGCAGCACAGGCACAGACAGAGAGGGGGCACTGCTTGCTTAATGCAGCCCCCACCCCTCTCTGACCGCTCCTTGCAGCTCTCCTCCTTGGTTAGTTTGCCTCAGCAGCCTGTCTAGTCATAGTACGGCTCACAAAGGTGGGCCAAGTCCTGCAACTGACCCCATATTGTCTGTGTTGCTCTCACATTCACAGAAATAGATGCCGGGTAAGGGCAGAGTTAAAACGTCGTTGCTTTTTCTCAAATTTTGGGTCCTGAGAAGCTATTGGAAAGCGTTATCATGGCTGCTCTAGCTGTCTATTACATCCCCCTAGCTTTCTTATGAAAACAGTTCAGGTCTGTTCAAGTTTGATACCAATATAAATGAAGACCAAGCATAAATCAGGACCAAAAGTGTTTTCAGATGGATCAACCTCTACTTGATGTTGAACAGAAGCCATGAATTATATAAGGTTCAGGTGTAATCTTACCCTGTTCATCCTGAAGTCAGATCTTGAAATGAAATTAGTAAAAGCAGTTAAAATTGCAGTGTGGAGTAGATTCAGGTCTAGAACCTAGGTCACAACAGTTCAGATAAAGGTCGCTAGGACTGTTACTGCTTAATTAAATACATAATCACATTAAAATATTAAAGACATCACCTGATTAAAGTGTTATGCATTACTATTTCATGTCTCATTCACAGAGCTCACACTGTCATCGTTTGGGATTGTTTGGAGACCACAAAGTGTAAATATTGAAGGAGGTCTGTGGTGGGATTCTTGGGGTTTTGTTTTTTGTTTTACACATACCACTGAAGGTCAGTGTGCATGTTTGCATGGGATAGAATCAGATTTTTTTCTTTCTTGTCGGTGAACAGTCATGAGGGAAGCACAAGATTACCCATCTGCTCTTTGCTAGACCTAGAATTCTCTCACAGAGTACAGAAGGGGATGCTGATTCTCCTATCACATTGTGATGTAAATACATACACCATACAAGGTGTCTGAGGGGATTATTTTTTCTTCTTTTTTTTTTTAAGTTATGTTGATGCATCAGTACTAACTAACAAGGTAACTAAATCCAATTTGTACTGACAAATGGATACATCCTTTGACTATACTGTTGTGTTAGGGATCATTTGGAAATACACTAAGTAAGTCAGAATAGGTCTCAGTAGTGAATCAGACCATAAAATAAAAAGAATACACAGGATCAAATCTAATGTCAAGAAGCAAACAACTTGCCTTATGTGATGGATTTCACCATTTCCCTTACCTGGATGCTTCTAATATTTGTCTCAAGTCTTTATTGAGAAACATTATGGGTTTTACTGGAGGACACTTTCATACTTGCACATTATATGGACATAATTTTTAAAAAATTAACTGATGAGTTTTTTTCATAGTTTTAGGAGGAAATTTAAGAAATTCAAAGTTTAAGTGAAATCTTAGAATGTTAGGTGAGCTTTTCAGATAGTTTTTCTGGGTTTTTTTGTGGGATTTGGGCTCTTGATTCCTTTGGGTCTACTCAATGTGAACTTTTCTATTTTGATACACGCTATGAAGGGTCAGTTTAGCAGTTGTAAGCGAGTACATGTCCTGGTAGAGAAAAGCTACCAAAAAGTGAAGTGAAACAATAGGAAAGTTTCAGGTACCATCAGACTGTCTGACCTTGACAACAACCCTTCTCCCATTTCCCATCCCATCCTCCCTGAAAAGATGGCTCCCTGTTTTCCTGTCAAGTTTTCACTCACAGGAGATGCATGGAGAGAAAGGCTCACATTGCATGGTCATGGTACAGGTGTTGAAATGTTCCTTAACACTGCTGAAAGCATTTACAAGCAGAGTCACAAAAGACAAATCTAAGACTTGTGTGACTCCCTGCAGAACTTTCAGATATTGTGGTAGCAATGAGAGAAAGTGGCCACAGTGAATTGGGACTGCGCTAAAGGAGATGATGAAGTTTAAGAAAAGCATTCATTGCTTTTCGGTATTTATTTTGCTGAGCGCTGATGGGAGCATCTTCAGATATGATGACGATTGCTTAGGCCTATGTGCAATATGCAGAAACATATTTAAGGCAGTAGGTCATAAAAGTCTATACCAAGAATGCTACCTAAGATGCCTCTTCTCTCGTTGGTTATCATGCCTTTTACTAACCCCACAGCAGATGCACTAGTTTCCCATCAAATAACCAATGCTCAGCTAAGTTCTATACTTCCTTTCCCTAACACAGCTGTACCCTCTGTGCTGCACCCATATGGGTTAAGAATAGTACATCTATCTTGGGAAGGTTCAGTGATGAAAATCCTGTGTTTTCTCTGAAGGATAATGGTCCATCAGTGGAGTCTGGGGACCTGATGCTTTTAACCACTAAATCAGCACTGGACACCAGCTGCAAACTGGAACAAAATTCCATAGATCATGCAGCTAATCAGGCCCACTTGTCCAATCACTCACAATTCATCCACGTATGAACTACCTATAAGTAACTCCAAATCTAACAGCAGCCCATTTTCTTTTCAGGTTCAACAGATCAGCAATCGACTGTTGAGTTCTTATAACATCAACCTAGATGAATTTTTTTCTGAGATAGATTCTTCTATAGCAGCAAGTCGAGATGTGTTTCAGCAGTTGGAAGCAAAAGAAATATTAATAAGTGAAACTGACTGGGAGAAGATCCAGATGCAGGTTGATTGGTGCTTTTTTTTCCTTTTTTTTTTTCCTTTTTTTTTTTGTTTTTAAAGTAGTTTTCCATTTATAAGCTCTTTTATGCTCTTTTGCATGGCAGTCTTTTCAGCACAATTGAGTGTTTTCCGTTTTCTTAAATTTTGGTCCATCTGTTCCAAATCAAAAATATTAAAAAGTTTTTACTGTTAAGACATTTACCTCAGCAGCATCTCTCTTCTCAGTTAAAAAGCCCAAAGAGTCTGTAGACAAAATTGAGAATCAAGATGTTAATAGTTTCTCAAAATACATTACAGTCATAAAATTTGAACATTTGAATTAGCGTATTGCTGATATAGTTACCTTCCATTGTTTCACTACAGGTTTGTTTGTTTGTTTGTTTTTACTCAGGCATTTCAGCAAGAGATATTTGACTGTCCTATCTGTATCATGCCACTCAGTCCTACCGTTCATCCTGCCCGTCCCTTCTCTGATAACAGCAATCCGTTCTCACAACAGACTGTTCTGCTTTCTTGTTCACATGTGTTTCATCATACCCGTCTTAAAGCATTTGAAGAGTTTTCCTTGGGAGAGTGATATATTTGTCCTTTATGTCGCTCATGTTATCAAAAGAAAATCCTCAGATGTTGATACATACAGCTCATAATGAACTACCTCGTAGATCACAGCTGACAACATATGTACTTCTAACTTTGGAGCCTTTTCAGAGCCAGATCTTCCAAGAACAAATGATTTTGTATGGACAATGGTATTTGCCTTTTATTTAGAGAAATAAAAGTTAGAAGGGTACTGTTGCTTCCCTTTTATACTTAGTTTCACCTTTGGTCTTCCAGCATTTTTGTTCTTCCTCCCACCTTCCTCCATTTTCATTTCCCTTCCCCAAAGACAAGCCACAGTTGCTTCAGGAATTTTGTTCATTCAGCAATACCCTGCTATTACCCTCACCTGTTTTGTTTTGTTTTTTTTAACACCTGATTTGTTGCAGCACAGGTTCCTACTCACATGGACTGCCACTACTGCAACTGGTAGTTGTAGCAAGAAACAGGTTTTTTTCCTTTTCCTTCAGCCACATTTACTAACTAGAACCCTGGCTGCTGTTTCTGCTTGAATGACTGACCAACTCCGAAGGGCTGAAGGCAGATAAAAGTGGCCCTCAAAGATGCAGGATCATTTCAGAACTTCAGAGAGCCTGGAACCACAGTAAGAGAAATAAAAGAGAAATAAAAACATGATTATGACTTTTCAGCTTGTCCTGGTTTCAGCTGGAATAAAGTTAATTTTCTTCTTAGTAGCTGTTATAGTGCTGTGTTTTGGATTTAGGATGAGAAGAATATTGATAACACACTGATGTCATAGTTGGTATAAACACTGTTTAGCAACAAGTAAAGGACTTTCCAGCTTTTCATACTGCCCTGCCAGCAGAGGCTGGGGGTGCACAAGAAACTGGGAGGGGACACAGCCAGGACAGCTGACCGGAACAAGCTAAAGGGGTATTCCATACCATATGGCGTCATGCCCAGTATATAAACTGGGAGGAGTTGGCCGCGGGGCACCGCAGCTCGGCGATTGGCTGGGCATCGGTCAGCAGGTGGTGAGTGATTGTATTCTGCATCACTTGTTTTGTGTATTCTCTCATTATTATTTTCCCTTCATTTTCTGTCCTATTAAACTGTCTTTATCTCAACCTATGAGTTTTACTTTTTTTTTTGCCCCAGATTCTCTTCCCCATCCCGCTGGGGGGGGCACGGTGGGAGGGAGTGAGCGAGTGGCTGCGTGGGGCTTAATTGACAGCCAGGGTTAAACCACGACACAGCTACGCATTGGTGAAACTAAAGTCAAGTCATCACAGATAATTTATAAGAAAAGTATGAGCACATAAAGACAAAAGTCAGAAGCTAAACCAAAATGAAATAGCAACATATCAAGGTAACAAGAAAATTCATTTTCATAAAAAGGCAATAACTGATCAGCTACAGAAATGATAGACGGCTTCCGGATAAAACTGACAAGATCAAATTGTCATGATCAAATGCATTAAGTGAGGTGGTCACCACCATACCAGGTGTAGGGGTTTACAGTCTGAAGCTGGGAGTGGGGAAAGCTGTATTAGAGCATCATTCGATAACAAGTGTTTTACAGGTTGGTTGCTGATTGACTCTGCTTTTGGGCAGCCAGAAAGCTGTCTACAGGGCTGTCAGAGACCGTTGTCTCTAAGAACTTGCGGAGAATGTGTGACACTCCGAAGGAATTGATAAACCTATCCTGAAACTGGGGAGGAGGGAAGAAATCCTGGGGAAATGCAGATATTACTTTCACTTCATTTCCCAGAAAAACACTGGTACAAACTACTTAAAAAGAACTTGTATTTGACATGGGATTTGCCAAGAAGAGAATCATATCAAGCCAGTTCAGTTTATTTCTGTAACAGGATACAGTCCTGCAGATGAAGCAGAAAACACGGTATCATGAAACATTAGAGTGCAAAATATACACTTATGTAGGAATAACCCCATGTATGAGGTGACTCGCATCTTTTATATATGTAGCAATGTAGAGACTTTCTGTAGAAAGACATCCAGAAATACAATTGAGGACACAAGTTCACTATGAATGAATGATGTTGCAAAAAAAAAAGACCACCAAAAAAACCCCCAAAACCCAAACAAAAAAGTACTGAAGACATGATGTAGTGTAAGGGCTCAAGCTTGGAGGTTTCTCTGTCCAGTTCTGAGCTCTGCATTTCTAGAAACACACGAGGGTCCCCACTGGCAGCAAAAAAGATGAGGAGAGGCCCAGGTAGAACAGCTGAGGGAATCGGGGGTCACTTCTGTTGTGGTTTAACCCCAGGCGGCAGCTCAGCCTCACACAGCTGCTCGCTCACTCCCCCGCAGTGCGGGAGAGAATCAGCAGGGTAAAAGTGAGAAAACTCGTGGGCTGAGATAAAGGCAGTTTAACAGGTAAAGCAAAAGCTGCGCACGCAAGCAAAGCAAACCAAGGAATTCATTCACTACTTCCCATGGCAGGCAGGTGTTCAGCCATCTCCAGGACAGCAGGGCTCCATCACGCCTAACGGGGACTTGGGAAGACAAACACCATCACTCCGAATGTCCCCCCCTTCCTTCTTCTTCCCCCAGGTTTATACACTGAGTATGATGTCATATGGTCTGGGGTATCCCTTGGGTCAGTGGGGGTCAGCTGTCCCAGCTGTGTCCCCTCCCAACTCCTTGTGCCCCCCCAGCCTCCTCGCTGGTGGAGTGGGATGAGGAGCAGAAAAGGCCTTGGCTCTGGGTAAGCACTGCTCAGCAGTGATGAAAACATCCCGGAATTATCAACACTGTTTTCAGCACAGATCCAAAACACAGTCCCATACTAGCTGCTATGGAGAAAGTTAATTCTACCCCAGCCAAAACCAGCACAACTTCTTATATAGAAGATAAAGGGAAATGTAACCTTCCAGGTGTGGAAAAAGCTGGTGCAAGCAGGAAGACCTGTCTTACTATGGACGTTTGAGAACCAAATTAAAGCTTAAAGGGTGGCAAGGGCCGTTCACACTTGACATTTAGGAAACCTTGGACAATTAAACACTGGAATATACTGCCTAGAGACAGACAGAAATCACATCGCAGATAGTCCCTGCCAGGCTGGTTAAATACCAGCAATAACGTAGGTATGTTTGATCCTGTGCACCTGAACGGATCAGACATCTCCAGGTCCCCTCCAGCCACGTGATTCCTGAACTTTAAAACCAGCCTAAAATCTCCTGTGAAACAGAAAGGAACATCTGAAGCTCTTTACAATAATTTAGGAAACATGGTGGTCAGGTTTTTAATATATAAAAATTGCCCTTCAGTCAAACAATTAAGCTATTGAAAATGACTTATGCATGACATAATCAGCATACTCTTCCATAAACAAACCCCACTTGCCTAAAGTAGAGGGTGCAAATTAATTGTGTACCTGTCAAACACAGGGCTGTAATGCCTCTGAATGTACAGGAATCCCCACCACATAGCATACATCACATATTTTAAAAACCTGACCATTTGAGAATCTCAGAAGCAGGTTAAATTATGGGGATGAAGGAAGAAAAGAGAGGAATGCAAATATTCACACCAACTACTGACAGGATAATTTAGAATGCCACGGAGATTTTTTTTTTTTTTTTCATTGCTTAAAATAAAAAAAAGCAAAACTCCACTATGAATCACACTTAACTTTATTGAAAACACAGTAAGAAAAAAAATCATCCTACAAAACATTCAGTGTAACATTTCAAACAAAGGAAAAAACACATTACCACTGCTTTTCACAAAAAATTCAACCTGGCTAAGGCGGCAAGTATTTTCATTTAGTTTTGTAACGCAGCAAAGTATCCACAACTGAGAACATTATAAAACCTATTTCTGGATGACCTAAAATAATCCAGGAAGGGTTTGGTGGGGAGAAGGTTATGTACACAGAAATTTTTTCCGATTAAAGTAACACTAAAAGCATAATTTTTCAGCTGTATTTTACCTTGGTCCAAGATACATCCATGTGAAAGGAACATCAGTTGCTCAAGACTGCAGAGTTTACAAAGCCCTAAGCTCAAACTGGACCACGAGGGGACCGCTGATTCCATTCAACATCTCTCAGCCTCACATCGTTAAGATTGTGCATCATTTTTTTTTTGTAAACTGAAATCCTAACCACTAACACTGCAGGGAAAACCTGAAAGTGCATGACAGAAGACACCTGCTGCCATTGTACAGCGCCAGCAGTAGCAACATCCATAGAAACGCTAGTCCAGAACTGTATTTTTATGGTTGCGTCACCCAAGTCCACATGAAGCTGATCCCGTGTGACCAGATGGCCAGCAGCACTCTGAGAATATTCTCAGTCTCCTCAGTGGGAATTTTCCAGACAGAGCTTCGTGAAGACAAGAGCAACGCGTGTTTTCTATTTAGGTAACGCAGGGTTGGGTTCCTAACCCCACAAGAAAGTAAAGGAAATCTAGCCATATTTTTTGTGTACAACTGTGTTTCACACACTTCAAGATTTCAAATCCATGACCCACATGTATCTTCATTTTCTATCCATTTGTTTTTAAAGCAATAGAAGTCAGGCCAAATAAGACAAAAATACTTTGAAACCTACCTTTAAAAAATGAAAAGTGGCTCAACTTTGTTTTGTTATATAAAGCCAGGGAGGAGAAAGTTACTTACATGGGTTTTGTGAATCTAAGTATTTTCGCCCAGACTGGGAAAACTTATGGTTAAGAGGAAAACAGAAGTCATGCACCAGTTAATTTTCTCCTTAAGCATTTAAACACATCCATCGTATTCACAATACAGGTACCGCCATCGCGCCGCTTCTCTGAATTATCATTTTACATGGAGAGAGAAGGTCCAAAACATGCTCATACGCACAAAATACAAACGGTACAGAAAACACATGAGGAGTCTTACCTTGCCACCATGCAAAGTTTGACTTTGATCAAAACATGAAAGAGTTACACACTGCCGACACACCGGAACGACGCGTCTTGATCTCCAATCGATTAAGGCAGCAAGGCACATCAAGAGCTGTAGTCTTACTCTACAAATTACAAGAAGATAACTGAAGAGCTGTTCCACAGAACATCAGCTACTCCGGCGTAACTGCCATCAGCACGGGCTCAAATCGGCTGTACCAGCACGTTGCTCTCTCACTGAGAAGTGGGCCGGTTGCCTCACACTACTGAAAGCTAAAAGCATATGTACATATCCAATGACTAAACCATTTTCATCTCGCTCCTAATTCAAACTCACATGAGCTCTTGGTAATTTGTTAGAGGACTCACCCTAATGACGGGATTCTTTTAATGGAATCTAGTGGTAAAAACCAGATCCAAGTACAAATGAATGAATAAATACTAATATTTTCAATAATGGAAGAACAGTTCCAACTAGGGAATGTCTCCGGATAGACAATGTGGGAAAAGAAATGTATCAAAATCAAAGCAAGTGCCATGATACTTCAATAGCTGGTATCTATGGAAGCACTGAATAGATGAGGAATGCAAAATAAAGCCCTGTTTGTGAAAGGAGCTTCACCCAGTGATGCCGACTATAAAACTTCATGTAATGGGGGGTGGGAGGGTGTAAGCAATAGCAACACTTGAGGTTAGTATACAACAAATATTCAGAAGCAATTTAGAAGCAGTATCCCAAAGTACTCATGTAGGTACAAATGAATAGTCGGATACCTAAAGCCTTTAAGAATTGGGATTTCCTAATTTCTATGTTTATGTGAGGCCTTCACACAGATACAGCTTTTAAATAGCTTGGAATTAGATATGTCAGGATTATCAACATTTACAGGATATTTCTGACACTATCCCTTTGACCGTTCAGAGCCACCTTCTATATTTGTTAAAACATTTAATGCTATCTATATAAAAAAAAAAAAACTATGAACAATAAATGACACTGAAAAAGTTACTTAGGAAAATATGGTAATTAATACAGAACTAGCAAGCATCCTCAGGTTTTCTGTTGCCAAGACAGAGCTATCTTCAAAAGTTCACAGGCTTCTATAAATTTAAAGTCAAGGATACTGTTGCACTGTGAATCACAAAACAGATTTTAAGAATTTATGAAGTTCTGTTCAGTGTTAGTGAATTACTGGCATATTTAGAGAACATACAATTAACTTTCATATACTAACGATACATGTGTTTCTTCCTTCTCTTTGAAAGAAGAGGTTTAGGTGCTTCAATTGTGAAACATTTCAAAAAAAACCTTCCCATTTAAGTTTCCTTCTGGTATGTATTCTTACAGATCATATGATCTACGTAGATTCTTCTTGTTCTGTTATTTCATATTTTGTCTACATCGAGGAGAAGGGCTGTTCTTAACATCAGTGCCACCAAATAAGATACTGAAAGACTTTTATTAAAAAAAGAAAAGGAAGCCAAGATGTTATATGTCTCCAAGAATTAAGGCCAGATTTAGAAAAAGTTTCATCAGCCCCTGAATTTCATGAACTTAAGGATTTTAAATATATTTTTAGTAATATGGAATTTTAAAGATCGACTAGAAAAAGAATGGAAAACAGACTGCATGCACTAGTGAGCTCCATGTCATTCCCACCCACCTCCAATTACTGGGCACGGCGGGGATTCTGGAAGACACATGTAGTGTTAATTCCCCACAAGATGTGTTCTCCTTCCTCAGATTCTGACCGATATTTTCAGGCTTTAATTGTTAAGTGAAACCTGTAGGACATCCTCTCTGGCTGTGGTCTGGGCGGAGGACACGGTTCTATTCAGAAGCATGCAGCATTCTTGAGACAGCAAGAAGCCATTCAAGCACGGAACGGCCCACGCAGAAACGTACAACCAGAAAATCCTGAATGACTTCTTAGACCCAACAAAACAGAGCTGCAAGTGAAAAGCACAAGACCACGCACAGCTATCACCTGGAAACCCTGAGAGCCTGCAATCCCAATCAAGAATAACCCGATTCAGCAACTAGAACTGTGTCTGGCAGACGGACAAACCACAGGCTGATCTCCTCAGGCCTTGAACAGAAAAGGAGCGTCACAACTTCTTACGACAGTGTCAGAGACCGTTCGCCTGAGGTAAGGGCACTGGGTAAGGTAGAAAAAGGTGGCAGAGGTTATCACCATGGGGGTGACGGCTGTTGGCTTAGATTGCTCTCCCTGAATGGGACGAATTCAAAAGCAGCGTTTTTGTAAAGTTCAAATCCTGTTAATGCGACTGAAATAACTTGCCAGTTTACCAAGACTGAATTCAATATTCAGGAGCTCATGATTTCAGCTCCTGAAATATACAGGATGGGGAGGGAAGTTAGTGTATGCGATATTGTCTCAAGTCAGCACTAAAATAACAACAAAAATATTAATGCTAGGGGGTAAGGGATCTTATTTCCTTAAAGCATTTAAAGGTTCACAGTTCACATCAACACTTTTTTAAACAAAACTAAACACATTTCTTTAAAAAGAGGTTATTAACATGGCCTTAGTGTGCTGTCTGTGCTTAAATGACTCCACATAGATTTTAAAAATTACTATTTTGAAAATGAGAGTATATGTAAAACAACAGGATTTAGCTGTCTTCCTGTGTTTGGTATTTCAAAATCGTAGATGCTAGTTCACTAAGCGTAAGGCTCAGCTGCTGTACGTACACCACCTGAGCCCATCCCGCTCTGGAAGAGGAGGAAAAGAAAGAGAAAGGAAAATAACCTAGAACATTCTTACAAAATTCAAGGAAAGTCACATGCACGAAGAAGCCAACTGCCCTTTGTTTCTACCTTATTCCTTCCTAATTTAGATTGTAAATTATTTAATAAAAGGGCCATCTTGTCTTTACTACACAGCAGTGGGCACATGTGAGCACCCGAAGTAGCATCAGCTGCTGCAGAGACACACGGGCGAGCAGGAGAGACCTGGTGGGACAGACGAGGGCCGCGGCCCCCTTCGCACTCGTCACTCCTGGTGAAATGCTGGAGAAAGCGGCACCCGGCAGCACCCACTCATGTGTCCATCCCACTAAGCACACGGCTGCACCAGCTCCTGCTGGGCAGGCTCGACTGCAGCGCACAGCCGTGCCTCTCTGGTACTCGAGGTGGTACTTCGGAACCGGACAAGGAAAACAACTTGTCAAATCCTTTAATTTCTATGACGCTAAAACAGTCAACAGGGTAAAAGGTACTGGAGGAACAGGGCCAGAGATAAACATCACATGACAGACAGTAAACAAAGCTTCCTATGAATGCAAAAACTGTTACTTGTACAGTAACCATTACTATTATTTTTTTAGCTTTAAGTAATAAGTATGTGTGCTTTATGCTTAGAAATCCCACAATATTACAGTTCTGCCACTGCATTTAATATTGTGCTACCAACACAGACTAAAGCCAAGAAACGGCTAACTTAAAACACTTGGTTTACATCTACTTTTTGGTCTTGTGTGGTATCCAGTTGAAGATGGAAGCATTTATGTGCTTTTTGCCTCGTAAGAAGTGAGGCAGATGTTAATGTTACTAAGATCAGCTGTATATACCTTGAAGGTATAGACCACCTGACTCTACATGAGTCAAAATACTAGGAATGTATTGTCAATATCCATTAATGAATTACCAGTTGCTTGTATTTAAGTGACCATATGCTTCTGTGAAAAGTATATAGTGACCTGTATCTTACACGTAGTATATTTGTAGCATTGTATCTGTAAAGAAGTTTTGCATAAGCATGTCATTTTCAAGGCCAAAGGCATATTTTAATGTGTACAGCGTCACAATATAAACAGCTGATTTTAAAACAAAACGGTGTCAGTAGTTGCACAGGGTAGTTCTGAATTTCTCAACCACACAGCATCTTAACCATCCTCCGTATTTCAGTGTAAAATCTTCACTAACATGGCCTTAACCTGTACATCTCTCTGACTGCAGAATCCAGCAGAAGGGGTGGCAACAGGAAAGGCTGTAGAGAGTTTTAAAGTCTTGCCTGAAACTTGTGTGCTTATCAGCAGGAACTAGCTCTGCTCAGTTTAAGTAATGGCCCAACTCACTTTCAGAAACCACACACACATTATAATCCCATCTTTTTCTGTGTTCTTGGGTCACTGATGCCAGGACAAACATCTCTCCAAAAGCATGAAGAGCAAGACCCACGCTGGTTCACACTCCCTAGATTTATTCCTTAAATTCATTCCTTCAGTTTCAGAGTGTATTTAAATTAACTGTATTAAAGTTGTGATAGAAATACTTTAATAAAGCTAACTAGCCTCACACACCACAATTCACCAGCCCCATTAAGACATGAGAACAATTTTGGTCATACACTCACTTGCATGGACAAGTGGATACATTTCAGTTATTTTTAACTATAATGCTAATACATAAGGCTACAAGCTCTGAGAACACCTGAATGATGCCCCTAATAATAAATCTCCCAATATTTTAAATGTAAACATATTTTGAAACAACTTTTAATTACAGCTCCCTGTTCTTGGTTGCAGAACTTTGACTCAGATAAAGATTTCTCACTAAAATGTCAGCATTCAACTCGAACAACAGAAAAGATGCTTGTAAACCTTAATGAAATCAAGCGATTTTACTTTGTCTTCCAAGACTCAGTACAACACATCAATAGTCAGTTTAACAAGCCTTGAATTTGTACTTACGACACACACAAAAAGTAACTCTCTAGCATCATATTTACTACAGCAATATTTATATTATGCCCCAGTTCAAGACAGAAAAGGCAGCTACAAAAAATAACTGAGAAATCCTCATGTATACTGGAGCTTGATTTTTGAAGCGCTCTAGGGGGGTGCGGGGGGACACACCAAAACAACTCACATTCACACACACACACACAGCACTAAGGTCTACAGCCCAGAGCAGTCATCTCAGGAGAACAGCCAAACTGTTCCTGACACAAGGTGTATCTTGTTTCAGAACCACACCGGAGAGCTAGTTGTCACTGCCTGATCGCATGAGACCTCAAACTACAGACAGACATACTTGTTTTACAAAATGGGAAACAAACAGGAACGTTATCTGACTCGCTACATAACGGGCACACACTGAAGTTGTCCCTGTTCCAATCTGAAGATTACTTGTGGCAGAGCAGGACAAAAGTGCAACAGATTTTGCATACTTACTTGGGGTTTGGTTCATGGGTTTTTTCTTTACTATAAACTGCTTAAAGGATTCCTAAGGCTGCAGTAATGCTAAGAAAAAGGACATTACCACCCACCAATGCCATTCTGAATCTAAGGCCTCTGAGCAGTTAACTGTAACACTGCAGAAATTCATACTACCAAGATTGAACACACAAGTTTCACTTACCAAGCCACCTATGTCACCTCTATAAGCTTAGAATTTAATTTACGATATCTACACATATAGGCCTATATACATCTTCATGTATACATTAAAAAACAGGCTAGTGAAAGATACTGAGTTATGCCACTGAACAGAAATCCTGGTAACTATCGTATAAATTCAGAGAAATAATTTACTTCAAATTAAAGAAGATTGTAAAAAACTGCAATTGCAGCCTCCTAGGCCTGTGCTACTTGCATTGATTACAAGTACTGCTTATACACAGTAGTTCATAAAGAATTTTACAGGGATGTACTTGGTAGGGTAAGTGACCTCCATGGCACAACAGCTTACAGAACTGTAAGAGCTGTGACAGGGGGTCTACACAGCTTTTTACAAAGCATACTAGGCTCAGATTTAACACTGAAGTTAATCTTCATCTTGTACTTCACTCTATTCAGTAAGACATTGTCTGACTACCAGTAAAGCAACCTGACATTTATAGCTAAGAACAAAAAGCTGAAAACGCTGGCCTTCCAAGAAAGCTTCGTGACATTAGGCTATGAGCAGCCTGCTGTATCCGGCGTGAAAGGAACTGTGATCTCTACCAGTTACCATCATTTTTAACATGTTCTTAGTGGAACTGTTTGTCTACTGTCAAGAATACCTACTCCAGGTAGTTTACATTGCCAGTAAGGGTCATATTGGGCTTCAAGTGTATCTTTTTTTCTTCTTTTTTTTCTTTTTAACCAAATCCCAAAGTTATTCTTTATAGCTGTGTCTGTTTAACACAGGAGGTACTGTGCATTCAAATGGTAGCAGGTTTATATCTAAAGATGTGAGACCATCAACAAATAAAAAGGAATGCATTATTCTCTTCAGCTTCCAGTCTTCAAGGCACCTCCTGCATTAACTTACTGGGAAATAAACAAGCAGACCAAAAGTTCACTGGAAAGAGAAGAATCTGATATACCTAACTTCCTCAGAAGCACACAGCATCAAAAAATGAGACAAGGTTGGACCCAAATTATCAACAAAGAAAATCAATATAAAAATGCTGATGAGATGACAGGAATGCCATGAGGTTGATGTTTTCAGCTCTGTCGATTGCAGGTGATTGTTAATCACAGTGTTTTCTGATGCCCATTTGCAGACGGCTTGGTCTCCGAGTCTCTAGGATTGTTTGACAGATGAAGTTTATCTAATCCTGCAAAACATTACACAATAAGGAAAAACTGAGAATCTCCCATGTTTCATGCATAGAGGTAGTCAATAGAATATATACAAGCCAAATTCTACTTTGTGATTAAGGACTTCACATTTGCTTAAGTCCAGAACTGACATTCTAGCTCAGGTAAGAATTACTTCTGGGAAACTCCCTCAGCTGTGTGTTAAGCGAGAAAAGTCCATTACAATGGACAAGCATGGAAGTGAGAAAAGCCTACCTTCACATTGTTTAAATCACAGACTTAGGTGTTAAGAACCAAGAAAGACTTGCAATCCTTTACTCTGTCAGCCTATGAAGACCAAAATAATTACCTAAAATATTTCTTTTAAACTATAGCATCTTTCTGAAAAGCATCCATTCCTGACCTTAAGATAATGGGTGATGACCACATCACCTCTCTAAACTGTTTATATGTCTAATAATATTTTTAGGCCTATGTTATTACTAATTTCTTTATCTCCATTTCCAGCCATTTGTTCTTATTACATAGCTCTCTACTATGAGTGCTAATTAAAGTCTCCCATCCTTCCCCAGGCAAGTAGTTAAACTACTCTCTACCGGGGAGAGGTGGGGAAAGATGGTAAATATAACTGTATTTTATTCATAAGAGGCATGGTGTCAGTCCTTCCTTGCTTGCTACAGTTTCTCTCCGAAGTCTCCTATCAAGTCCCTAAAATTAAGGATCAAAAATGGAAAGAGCTTCTTATTCATTTAGTGTATGTGAATGTTTTACTGAAGTGCCATGACGTACCAAGTTAAATTTCTTGCATCATTGGAATTCCAAAATTGATTGCACTACATGTCCTGGTTTCCACTGGGACAGAGTTAATTTTCTTTCTAGTAGCTGGGACAGCATTATGTTTTGGATTTATCAGGACAATAATGTTGATAACACACTGATGTTTTCAGTTGTTGCTAAGTAATGTTTGTACAAAGTCAAGGATTTTTCAGCTTCTCATTCCCAGCCAGCAAGAAGGCTGGAGGGGCACAAGAAGTTGGGAGGGGACACAGCCAGGGCAGCTGACGCAAACTGGCCAAAGGGGTATTCCAGACCATATGATGTCATGCCCAGTATATAAACTGGGGGGAGTTGGCCTGGGGGGGATCGCTTCTCAGGAACTAACTGGGCATCGGTCAGTGAGTGGTGAGCAACTGCATTGTGCATCACTTGTTTTGTATATTCCAACCCTATTATTAATTATTGTTATTATTGCTATTATTGTCATTTTATTATTGTTGTTATTATCATTATTAGTTTCTTCCTTTCTGTTCTATTAAACTGTTCTTCTCTCAACCCACGAGTTTTACCTTTTTTCTTCCAATTTTCTCCCCATCCCAGTGGGTGGGGCGGAATGACTGAGTCGCTGCGTAGTGCTTATTTGCTGGCTGGGGTTAAACCATGACAACTACTAAAAAAACAAAGTCTACTCAATATTGTATTATTTGCAAGTCCCAGTATTGCATGAATTCTTTTGGTCACAGGCCTGCAGCAGGAATTTACTTTCCACTAATTAGCTATAATGCTCCACCAACCTCTAATCCTCAGCATCACAGTTTTCAGCATGGGGGGAGAAATGAGGACACAAATTTTGGATCTCATTCTTTGAATTCCATGTGACAGCTTTTAACAGACACTGTTTGTTATGCATAGCGTCGAAACCAAACCCAGTTTGTGTCAGGAACCTGCACCTTTCAGGATTTATAATCCCCTACTTGTGTCAAATGCAAGCCTTTTACTAGTTACTTTGCTCCTCCATTTCGATCACATTATTTACACAAAATCACACAATATGTGATAGCAAGAGGCCAAAACAATCCCTAAAAAATCCACTAGAATGATGCCTATCCTGCCACGCCTGCATTTTCGAGTTTCTTAATCTGCTTTCCACATATATAATTCTTTATTAAACACTAAATATTTAATAAAGTGCCATGAATTATCAAGATAACTCTTTTACTTAATTTGCTTTAAGACAGAAACTTTAAAGTTTTACCAGACCTGTTGCTATAAGCCCATGCTGACTGATGTTAATTTATTGCCTTCAGAGCTCTGCAACATTACACAAAGTAATCCCTTTACAGTCAAAACAGTTGCACAAAAAAAACCAGGATTATGCAAGTCAACTGAAAGAGATGAATCAAGGTCTTCTCATAAAATGACCTTAACTATAAGCTGGGGGATGATGTCAAATACATCATAATCTCATCATATATCTGTCTTAATCAATAATGGAACTTCTCTGAAAATATTTTCAGCATAAAAATCAATGGACAGATTTACAGATCCCTGGCCCACTATTCCATTCCCCTGGAGCTTCAAAACTCAACATCAAAAACCACAGAATGGCTTGTTTTAATCCTACACTATCAGTCACTTTGTATTTCCCTATTTAGTAGGTCTGCTTTTAACTTAATTGTCACCAGTACAGGTGCACTCTAGGAAGTGCTTGGATTTTGTTTACCAGGGTCACAACTCTGGAATGCAGTAATCAGTGAAAACTAACATAATTACCTTTTAGACACTACAAACTGAATCCGCAGTTATAAATATACACTGAAGTTTCACCATTAGTCCTCTCAATTTAAGCAAATACTACTCTAGGGTTCTAAAGAGGTAGGAGCTTCATTAATTAGTAAAGATGTATTAACAACACAATTACTAAATATGTACATTTTATCCTCTTAGTATCAAATATGTTTCAAGCCTTTCCTCTGTGGCCAAGAAACATGAATGCACAATTTGATCAAAATTTTGATTATATCAAGCACAGGTTTCACTCAGCCAGTTACCAAGATTCTGTATATTCTGTACAAAGATTTTCTGAACATGCAGTGCTCTAAAAAAAAGCATCACAACAAAGCAGCTAAGACTTCCACTAAACTATTTTAAGGAATTAATAACTTGCTTTAAACAAAAAAGAAAAAAGCCAACCCACAGACAAGTTGAAGTTTTATTTTGGAATAATTGCTCAGTAGCAATGAGAATTTTGCTGTGCTCTCCAAAGGCTGAAAATCTAACTGCAGATCAATAAGTACACAGACATATCATTAAGATCAACATCGTACCTTAGCTCTCAGCTTTTCAAAAAATAACACAAAGCTATGCATTCTCATCTTAACTCATAGAAACTTCCACTGAAAAAAATAGTCTTCTGTGAGCTGCAACAGGACTTTAACAGTAGCACCTCAAACTATCAATGCTGGAGAAAGGAAACATTCAAGTACAAACTCAATTTTCAGTGCTGTATTACCTAATGCCTTCAGGAGCTCTTCTCGCACAGCAGAAGTGAACTTTCTGACCAGACATAATGTTGTCATGATAGCAAAGAGCAAGTTGTAAGATAATACAATATAGAAGTTCCCCAGCCAGTTAAACCTTCCAAAGTCTCCAAGCAGATCAAATCTGGTGATTCCTGTTAAAATTGCATTTAAGATTTACATCAAAATCTTGATTACATTTTTTAAGAAACACAAAAATTTCACTCTATTACTTTTTACATATGGAAGCAAAATTCTTTCAGACAACACGCTATAAGACACATGGTTAAACACACAAGACAATGTTTTCAAGGTCATTTTCCACTTCACTGACCACTGTAAAACTGTAAGACACACTTATCAAAATGCTTCTTAAGTGTCCTGCTAAAATGCTTTAATAATGTGAGTTGACGTAAATTGTCTATTCTAGATAGGAATCCTGCTTTTATAATTTCAGTAAAATACAACTAGGAAAAAATCAGTATTACTATGAAAACTGCTTGAAATCTCAGATTGTATGAAATCCTTATCTATTCCAGAAAAAGATGAAATGCACCATGGGCCTCCTTATTAAAAAATACAGGTAGCAAAAAGCCTCTTCACGAGAGCCACAACATCTTACAGTAAACACTAAGCCTTTGTAAATGTTTTTTTCAGAGCCACTGCTTTTGAAACCGAAGTTTAAAGACATCTCTGCAACTGCAGTTTTCCTCCTAGGTCTACCCACCACTATAGCCATAGAGCATTTGCACAGAAGGCAAAGAGTTTGGCTGAAAGATAGTGCTGACTGTTGTTCTTCACCTCGTAACACTGACACTTGGGCTTTGTGCTGATGAAAGGCTAGTTGATCGCTAAAGCTAAGTGAGCAAAATTTTTCCAAAACATGGAAGTGTCTACAAGCTATAGGGTCCATCCCAGAAGGCAGAAGAGGAAGAACCATAGATTGTTCCTTTGCCAGGTCTACATCAAGGACTGCACTGAATAAAAGGCGGAATAATGAGATGAAACCCAAATAACAGTTGTCTAGGATTGCTGAGCCATTATATTCCCAAAAAACTTTTGGCATGGATGATGTCACAGTGACGTGCGGTCTCACAGTTGAAACCAACAGCGCGAAGGAAGGAAGCTTACCTCACCCCAGAACTAAAATGGCAGCAGAAAACTAGGCAATCAGAAAATAGCCCCGGCTCTGAAGTTCCTGGAAGCGAGTTCTCTATCGTCTTACTTTGAAAGGGTTTGGGGGGGTCTTAAGAACTGTGACTTCAGCAGTGATAATAAATGAAGAGAGACAGAATTAACGGTCGGTTACCCTCCTGTCAGGGGTAAACCTGGCACTTACCAAATCTCATCGTACCTTAATACCCAAGACTTAACAGCCAGCTATCACAATGTTAAGAGATATGTACACTTCTTGTAGTCTGCATCAGTCATTTAAATAAAAAATATGGGAATCAAATTTGGTATTTAAGGAAAACATGCCAAAATGAAGAAAATTAAAAGGAGAAGTTTCAAAGGATAAAGCAAAGAAATCACTGAAGCTGACCAAAATAACAAGAGAGGCAGGGAGAAATATCAAAAAAGCACAGAAAGTCTAAGCACAAAAAGAAGACTGGCTGACTGAATTAACTGCTAAACAGATGAAGGACAATAAACACATAGTTGCTTTCACACTTGAAGGCAAACAATGTCCTTAACATTTTCAAAGCAGCAGAGTGTTTTAGCCAGAACGTAGAGCTACAAGAAAATTGAGCAAGTCAGGTTTGAACGCATAGGCTTCCAGACCTTTAAAGGAAAAGAAACAAAACAGGTAAAGCACTGCATAGAGTTCTCAGGAAAAGAAATAATACTCCTTGACACAAAGAGGTTCAGAAGAACAGCTAGCAATAGAGCAGGCGTTACAAGGACAAACAAAAATGAAGCCTGACACTTCTGTTAGAGCAGGTGGGAAAAATATTGTCCGTAAATTACATTCATTTTCCTCTTACAAACTAAAAAAAAAGTCACTGCTCATCAGAAAAGATCTGACACAGTATCATTTTGTAAATTTGTGGGAGCAAGGGTTAAAAAGCTTTTGATGACTTTCTTACAGAAGTATCTACTCAGCCCACAGAGGAAAAAAAAACCTCCCAAGACTGCAATTTGAAAAACTACTCAGTAACTGAACAGAAAGCTACATCTCTAGGGGACATAAATATATATCTAAGAGAGTTGGTGACAATTTACCGAATAAAATATTAAAGATTTATTCAGGTTAAAAAAAAATAAAATACTATGGTTTTAGACTGTACATACCAGTGAGTTTCAAAACAGTATTTACTTAAACCATAATGCTCAAGAAGAGAGTTCTAGAAAAACTTTTGTATATTAGAAAATTCAATTTTGTTTGCAATTCTTAGTTTCTGTATTCTTGAGTATTAACTGCCCTGTTCCCAATTTGTTTCTCACTGGTTAGCAATATGGTGCTGGTGGGAAACATTTTTGAAGAAGGACTACTAAAAGGCTGAAAAGTTCTGGAAAAAATGAGTTAACTTATTTTAGTAAAAACTTTCCTGGAGTTCTAAGAGAATGACAGATTAGAGACATCCACCACCTACATATATAATGAGAATGCTATGAAACATGTAAAAAATTCTCTTATTTCCATCTTTAAAATTTCAAAAGATCAGTACACGTATTGGATAACTTTTGCTTTTTTACCTTTCCCATAATGATAAAGTCTAGTCTTTTCTGTATAGCCTAGAAATTCGCTTTTTTAATAAAGTGAAAAAGACTATGAATCTGCTTAACATATTTATTTCTTTTCATCTATTCAGTGCCACAGGGCAGTAGCATGTAGCGCAACACATGTTGATATTTCTGCAAAGCACCACATGACTCACTGTACTCTAATACACTCTATTAATCCTGTTTGGACAGCTGTGACTGTGCATTTGTTAGCTGTGTGTTAATTGTTCCATCTTTTTTCTTCTTTTATTTATCTCTATGGCAAACTATTCAGGAATTTCATTTGTTAGTCCTTTTTTTTTTTCCAAGTGAGTTTTACCATTAATCTGTTTCCTATGAGACAACAATGCACCCAGCATGTATACTTACTTCCACAGAATCCATTTATTATCAGCTGTTAATCTCACAGATCATTAACAATGATTTTTTATTATTTTTTAAACAAGTGATGAATGCAGTAACTTAGTGGATACAATACTAATGTTAAAATTCTATTCTAAAACACTGATTTTTCAACAAAACATCTTGCTCTAAGTACTGGAACTCTTTTACTTGGATCTTTATCATACTGGCTATATTTTAAAACTGTACTACTTTAAATACTTGAATTATTCTTTTGCACTTTTGTGAAGTTTTACTAGAGATTTTTAAAACATGAGCTCTAGAACGTGTATTTTAAGATTCAACCCTCCAAAATACATTACAGGTTGGGGTTTTTTGTTACACAAATCATCTAGTAAATCTAAAAAAACTCATCATCTGTAGATATATACAGCATAAAAATATACAGTATAGTTTAGCAGAAAATATTAACTACTCTTGATTCGACAGTATTCTGGTTGAAAAGAAAAACAGCTACAGAACTATTGGGTACACGTTACTGGTCTGTGAGCTTAAATTCCTGAACTTGTACTTAAGACTCGTACAGCCTGAGGTGAAGATTTTTGTTTTCTTCCGTTTAATGTTCCCAATGAAATTCACATTAGCTGCAAGTATTCTGCGCTACTTAAACATATAATAGCCTTGCAATCTAACTTCAAGAATTGAAGTTAAAGATTATGTAATTAAACAAAATGAAGATACAAAACACCTTGTCTTTCCAACTGGTTAAAATAGTTTTTCCACTTTAAATGCCGCTGCCATTTCTTAACAATAAAATCAGTACTTCTTCAGTTCTACCATGCTAGACTCCAAATTTTTATATTTGAAAACTGAAGTAACAAAGAATGCAAGCAGATTATTTTAGGGGAAAAGGAAAGTAATCTAGTATCACTGATGATAAAAAACTTAACAAATGAAGAGTCATTAACTGTTTTTAAATGACATTTGTACTCAATGTTATCTAGAAGGTTATACCTGAAATCCCCAAATGTATTTTTTCACAAAAACTGAGCACTGTAATTTCACAGTGAACATGAAACTATCTTATATTGCCCTGAACAAGCAGTCTCTGTATCTATTCTTCTCACCATCTCCTGTTTTAAGAAGTTTAAAATTTGACCTACCTTTTTAAAAGAATATATTCTCTAGAAAATGCTTAGCATCTTTTTTTTAGAACGTATGTTCAGCAGTTCCTGTATGTAGAACGTATGTTCAACAGCTCATGTTGATGTAGAAAAGGCGGCCACACATACGTGCTCTTTCTATTGAAAGTGGTGGCAAACTAAATACATACTATGAAAGGTACAGCTACAGGCTGTTCTTTTTTTGTGATTTTTGAAAACTCAATTAAACATCCTGTATTACAATGTTTTATACTTCTATTTCACCTACCCAGTGTCCTTGACATCACTGGCAAAGCAGAGCTCAGCACCAAGATTGAGACACAGTTTCCAATGATCTGTTTGAAAATGACAAACAGCATTTAAATTATAAATGGGATTGCTAAACAAAAAAACAAAAAAATAAAAACAGTGGTCAAGATGAAAAAGAATTCCTGAAAGTTACGTTCTTCAAACTGAACCTAAAGCAATTTACAATATCATATTGTTAGTCTTGCTTACTTCTGTCACACTCCTCCATATGGTGTTACACAAGATGATGATGATGATCCAAGAGACAAGTTAAAAAAAAAGTAATCATTTGCTTTTAATCAAAGTGTTACGCATGCTTAGATTTAAAATAATTCAAAACTACCATGTTGCAAAGCGTCAACTGTTTACTTAATTCCTGCAAACTTTTTATAAAAGAACCATTCCATGGGCTTAGAATAGATGACTGATATATCAGCTTAGGCTTTGTATGTAACTGCTTGCAGGATTAGCATTATTTAAAAAATTACAACAAAGAGCTTCCTTTCAGTTGAATGCCTGTTGACTACTTTAAATAGTACGAAAAAATTCACAGCTGTTAGATTTTACTCTAGTTTTTGTGAAGCCTTTATAGAGAGTAATTGAAACTTTCTCTCACAAGGAATCACTTTCTTCAGCTCTAATTCTATCAGAATCCAAAAGAAAACACCAGAAAACTTCTTGAAAGTAGGCAGACATTTGTGCATTCACTATTTATTTCAACACTGTTCCTGGTGTACTGTAAATAATCAATAGAAAACATAAAGAACATTCCAACTCCCTACTACCTATCTACTATAAACATTCTGTGTTATTACCTACTTTCTCACTTCCAACAATTTATGGTAAAAATGTCTTTATCTATTACTTTAAAAAAAAAACAAAAACAACAAAAACCCCAACCAAACAAACAGCAAACAATGAAGCACATTGAAAAAAATAATTAAATTCAACATCTGTTCCTTGGTTACTGATCACCTCCCCTTGTCAGCTGTGGGAATATTTTGCCAAAAAACCTAAGCATGTTCCTCCGCATTAGGTAACAGCATTTGTTATTCTGAAGCCAGTGCTAAATTGTAGAAAGTCAAATTAGCCTCAGACTGCAAAATATTGCTGAATAGACCTCCTCAGTCTTAGTTTAATTATTCAAATTTGAATTACTTTGTCTATTACTTCTAGCAACCAAGTTCTTCAGATTTCAAACAAGCTCCCTGAAGTACAGTTAGCACAATCAAAGTTACTCATTAGCAATACGTTTCCTTTGAAAAAAGTTCTTTCACTAGCTTTTCTATAGCTAGTTAACAAGCTCTGCTATTCCCAGCTTTTTACAAGTGAATGGATGCCATCCAAACTAAACAGAGCACATCCTTTTTCCCACTCATTCAGCATTTTGAAAATCTTCCAGTTTGTGTTTACGCAGCTTACAAACAAATACTGATCACTGCAAATGAGCCATTCAGGGCAATTACTAACTAAAAGAGTCAGTTTGTCTTGGGTGGCAAGAAAAAGAGGAGGGGACCATCACCATGACAGACTTTACCTTACCTTTGTCATAGTTGTGTCATCCTTCCTGGGAGTGAAATTTTCAAAAAAACGAAGACTGTAGAAGCCGACGACAGAGGATACCATAAGATAGCTGTGAGAATCAAGGAAAAAGGAACCTCCAAGGAATGCAAGTTTCACTCAAGTTCTCAGCAGTCTCCTAAAAGTCTTAAGAACCAAAGAAAAAAAACAAAAACACTTCGAGTGCTTGAGAAGGACTGACCTATCTCTTTCTTCTTTCCAGGCAAGTGTCTTAGTAAATTACCAGTGTCCCAGAAAACTAGACAGAATACTTGTTAACAGACAGAATTCTTAAAGAAAGGATACAAAATCAAAATGATCTCAAGTGCTGCTCCCACAAAACCAAAGGTGGACAGGGAGGCATTTCCTATTCCAGGCCCCTACAAGGAGAAAAATACTTTGCATAATTTAATAAGATACACACAACTGTTCATAAAGTTAACTTCTACCAGGATCAAAAAAACTAACATCTTACATGAAATACAGCCTTTTCTCAATTCAGTATTTAAGGGGCATTCCGATGTTCTAACCTGCAAGTCTCCCATCCTATGCAATTGCATCAGCTAGCTTTCAAACTTGAGTGAAATGTATTTCTAAGACAGAAGGTGTAATAATTCACATTTTATGCAAGCTACATCTACCCATCATTCTGCATTTTCATCCATACTCCATTACTTTAGAAATTAAAATAAGAGGTCTCAAAAGAAGACAATTCTAGTTGTTCACAATACCACAGAGCAGCCATCACCACTAAACACCTTATATCGCTCTGCAAGCTCATATACAGCTCTACGCAGGGGAAAGCATTCCCAAGTTAATAAAAAAGCCCTCATGATTAAAAACACTACTACTCAATGTGCTGTTCTTTACCTCCTTGAAGTATTTTTATAATAAAGGAGGAAAAAATGTCATGTTTTCTAAGAGGAACACAAACCAAGACAGGCTTTTCATATTGGTTTTTAACATAGTTTCTTAAATTAACATATTTTCTTAAATTGAACATTCCTAGTCTGTATAAAAGTAGGAGACATGAGCAAAATGCAAACTCCAGATTACTGACTGACTTTAGTGAATCGCTGTATCTTCATAAAGATTCTGGACTAGTTTTATTAAGAACTCACTATAAAACATGACATGTAATAAATGTTTATGTGTGCACAGGACCAAAACCTAGAAGCAAAGTCAAGATTGAGGCTGATTAGCTTCAATGTTATTAAAGCAGAAATTCTCACTTGCACTTTTGTGAGGGCTCCAAAGCTTTATTAAAGTTATAAAAATTGTAAAAGAAGTTTACTTTACCCCTGATCCCTTTGGCATTGCAGTCTCATCAACCAACAGGTAAAGGATGTTGAGAGCAACTAAGAGGACTGAGATGGACTATAAAGAAGTAGAAACAGTCTTGTTATTTAGAAGTATTACACATTTTTAAAATGTATACCTTCATCCTCACCAGGTTTCATAATGTTCTTTTAAAATGGTCAAGAAAAGAATATCAAGTTTGTTGCTTAAACACACATCACTCAAAAATTTTAAAACTATTCCCCCAAATGACCGAAGAATTCTTCATACTTTTTCTTGGGGATGGGGTGGGGGGAAAGAGCAAAAAATCTTACCGTCTCAATTAACAGCAATATCATAACAGCTGGATAGACTAAATTCCTTTCCCAAGCAGAAGCTTTTTTCCGCCGTTCTGTTCAGAACAGAAAAGCAGAACCTTAATACTGTAGATCACCTTAGAATAAAACAAGTAAAAACCATTCAGCTATCTATAAGCTCTTGTTATAACTATAGGTAACAAATGTAATCTTATCTTGAACTGACACCAACCAGTTCATAAAAATATCCACCCTGAAGAGCTGTACAAAGTGATGCCAAAAATATGAAGCCTCTTTAAAGAAAGGCTGGGAAGACGGAGAGAAGCAGATTTTTCTTTCTTGTCTACAGACATATTTCACCATAACTTTTTTTTTTCCCTGGCACACAGCAGTTCTGCAAAGTTTAAAATATACTGAATTTAAAAATATGCCATTTACATGTGTATTTTAGTATGAACTAAAGGGACAGAAAGGAATTTCAAATATTTAAACAGTATTTTCCTCTTATAACATAAGGCAAGAAAGGCAAGACTAACTCACTGGACATCACTAGTATGTCTGTAAAGAAAACCCAACAACTTTTTCTTACCACAGTCTTAGTTTTGCACATAACACACTGATAAATGCAAAATCCTGCAAGCCTTTGAATGAGTAAGGAGATTCCTGTTGCATGGCTGCCATTACCAGAAGTATCACTTTTCAGTTTTAAAAGACACAAATCCACTAAGAATTATTTTACTGTTCTTAAACACAATTTGACTTCTATAGAAATAATTCAAAAACAGAGAGGAAAGTAATGTCTTAGATTATCCCAAATAATCATCAGCATATCATTATATGAACTCCATGCAAGGAAGTCAAGAGCGTTACAATTTCTCTAAAATTACGTTAAAAATAAGATCCAAATTAGACTCCCTACTTAAATTTGTTTGTTAGAGGGGTGCAGTAATTCCATATAATGTATTTGTAGAAACTATGACAATTTGAAAGGACTGCAAATGCACAAATTTGGGTAAGAACAAACTGGAATCAATCAAGCGACTGCTACAAGCTAAACACAGCATCTTAAGGTCATTTATTAAACTGCAATCCACATGAAACAGTAGGAAAAAAGTTTATTACCTAGATTCGTTTTCTTGCTTTTTACTTTTTCAAGCTCTCGTTCCAACTCTACTGTCTGGTATTCCACTGTGGAAGATATACCTTTTAAAACAGAAGAAAGTATTTTCTTTTGGATGAGACTAACTATAGTACTGTAAGACACACTGTGACAATTCAGATTTAGGAAGCATCACATTAACACTTGTGGGTTTAAATTGCAGGTGTTTCTTTGAGACTCTTCAACTACTTTTCAAAAAACAGAGGCTTAGTCAAGAACCCTCTAATTCTGTCTAACCAGAAGAGTTCAGCACATCAGAGGTTTCACAGTGCGACCTTCTGTCATAAACCAGTTATGGTGCGGCAGCCTGACACAGGATGGCTCAAATGCCTCATTCTTGTATCTCTATACGATTCATATATCAAGATGTAAAGAATCTCTGGATGCCCTTCAAGGGCATTATTATTTAGCAACTTGAAGACAAAGTGGACCTTTGCCTCCAAACTAAGCTGTTGGCTGGGCCTCCAGCTTCAGCTTCTGCCCCTCTCTCCCTTTCCCCAGTCCTTTCTACTCAGCAAACTCAGTTTCCATACTGCTGACCTGCTTGTTGACGTATCTTCTGCTCTTATCGGTTTGCCTGATTTGGTCAGTCTTTTGCCGCAAAGCTCCCTCTGACAACCACAATCAGATCTTCCTCACAACCACCCATGAGACCATATTCTTTCACTTTCCTTTTTACAGTTTACAGCATATGCATGTCACTTGTGCAACTCCTCAAACTCCCTCCTCTACACCAGCTGAAAACTGACAACTGTATTATTAATTCCTCTCTCCCTTCCTAATTTTGCCTAAAAGTTGCTCAGCAAGTCTTCCCCCTATCCCTACAGGGGCTCTAGGAAACCCAGCCCATTTTCCCTCTCCACCCTTTTTCCCTTCAACCGCCCATTCTCTTCCAGCCACCCATCTTTTCCAGTGCAAGCACACTGTGCTTTCTCTCCTTGATTCCAGTTCCTCTACAAACAACTGCACCATGTTCAAGCAATGACACAGCTCTGAAATGCTGACTAGAGACCTGCTGTTTCAGTCCCAATCTCATAATTTCTACTTTAGCTTTTATTCTTTGCAATCACAAACTGGAAATATTCTTCCCGGGTTGAGTTAGAGACACTCTCCACTCATCTTTGCCCCACTTTCATCCCTTTTATTTCTGAATGATCGCACCTGAAAATAAATTAAGAGGGCTTATATTTTCCCTGTCTATTCCAGGCCAATCTCACTCTGCGAAAACACTCTGTGGCAGTGACCATTCAAGGTCTTAATAAACCCTAAATCCTCTCCGGTATCTGCTTTCTTGATTTACATTGACACCCTTCGCCTGTTGGCCATTCCCTACCCTCAGCCTCACCTTTGATTGCAGGCTAACCTGTAATAGCACCATGATCCAGATACTTTTTTTAAAACACTCTCCAATAAATTTCTATGAGATTAATAGTCTTGTCCAGGCTTTTATCTCATATCTTGATCATTTGCCTACAAAAACTAAATAGCACTTAGGTTGCTGGCACACTAACACTACTTTATAGTCCAGTCTCATTATTTCCTTATTTTCTGTTGTCTGCTCATCCATCCAGAAATCTCAGTACAAGATGAGAAGGTGAATTTGTCATCCCATCAGCCCCCACATTCCAGCACAGTGAGGTCCTACCTGAAAACCAAGATATATAAGAGTATTTCTTGGACCTTTTTTTAAACTTTTACTATTTTTTATTTCAGAATATTAATACTTATTTTTTCAATGCAGTCAAATTATCAATGAGGCATCCAACTGTTTCAAAAATTAATTTTTACATGTTTAATAGCATGCTTCTTTCACACACGTTTTTGCATATAACACATAACCTCTGTGCTATGCCTAAACATTTCTCTTTGATATCAATGACATAATCCATATGTGGTAATACTTACAGGGCTTCAAATATATACATATCTCAAATCCCAGGACTAATCAGCAAGACTGACAAATGCTGTTTTGTAACAACTTCTACTCACTTGAAGTACCTGCAGTATGAATGTCAGTTTAATTTCTCAGTGTTTTTTAAATAAGTAATCATAATATGGAGGGGTTTAGAAAAAGTTGGTGGTTTTTTTTAACTAAAAACCTCATTATCATTACAAAAATAAGCTTTTGTGCTGATGTGGTCTCTCAAAAAAACCTCTAAAACATCTGTTTTATGGAATGACATCACTATGAGTTAAGAAAAAGGATAACTATAGAGCTCAGTGGAAAAAGTCTCAAGAACTTTAATGGATGCAGTTGAAAAAGTAAGAAAACTCAAGTTAGCATCTGACACTTTCTTCTTCTCCATAATTGATTCAGGGGTCTCTGAGGAATAGCTTTATTCAAGATATATGTTGTTCCCCGCCTTCAATATAAAAATCCAGAGCTCAAAACACTGATATTCACAGGACTTTTTCCAACAAAGTCAGCGTGATCGCATTAGGTCCCTAAGAGACACTTCAGTAGAAATTCTGAATCATATTTAAGTGCTGTTGTAGCTCCTCCTTAAAAATAGTAGCAAACAACAGGTTGCTATACAAAAGGATATTTTATGAGAGGGGAAGGCAAAGTTTCAGATCAGTCAAAAGACTATTTGAAAAGGATGCAGCTAAATTCTTAAAAGCTCTATAACATTAGCTTTATTTCAAACATGCACAAAGTTCAATGTCAGCGCTGTCTAGCCAATAAATCAAATTGGTAGACAAGACTTGTTTGGACTAGCAATGAAAAGTTAGAAGGGATTCTCCAAGAAAGCCACAAAGCAGCTCATTTAAGGTCAATTTAACGGTATTATTCTGTTTTTCTTCCAGCCCCGACATAAGATTTCAGTACCTCAAAGGAAATTGTAAGAGTATCTATTTGCATTCCCCCTAGGTGATTGGCAGTTCAACACCAATTAGTTCAAAATTACACTGTTACTAGCGTGCAATAAAAACAACACCTTTCATCTTTCTTACATAGGTAAGGATACCTTCAGAGCCAATAACTTTGATCAAGTAAGTATTTTTGATCCTACCCCACCCGTCTCTTTGGATTCAGGAAAACTAATAGCTGAAGGCAACTTTTTTCTTTTAATATAAAAAAGTCCCAGCTTTATTCTTCGACTGAAGGAGTGATGTGGGTACTGAAATATAATACACTGGAAACAAACATTTTCCCAAAGCCCAGTATCTCTTCAATAGATAAAAATACTAGGGTAGATAACACAATCAAACTTTCCCCTCCCTCCTCCTCCGATTTTCAGTTATACACTGTAGACATCTGAGAAGGAAGAAAATTAGTTTCCGCAAAGAAGATATGCAGTTTCACAGTTAGATTTGTTTTCAAATATAAAGAGCTTTACAGAATACTCTGTCAATTGCATCACCACCAAGACAGTTGCATCTATATGAATCAAGAACTGCACCAGCTCACACAGCTGAACTTTTTTCCTTCTCTGAAAACACAGGCTTTACCCAGCCTATTCAGCGGGAACAGTGATTCATGTTACCCCCTTCCTATGTCCAGACATTGTCTAAGGAAACATTCATTAGGACAGGGCAAAGTAGTGCTAGGAGTGTGATAGCAATTATTCTATCAAGAAAAACAACAAAAAAAATCAGCACTGACAATCATCAAGTATCACTTAAGCCTGTGCTCTTGTCCTCTCCAGTCTTAATAAAAATTCAACTCTTTGGTTATACATATAAATGGAGTATATATTTTAGAACACTTCACTGCAAAACTGTCCAGCAGGTTTACTTAAGCACATGTATGTATTTCCATTACCACAACTGTGGAAGAGCTGCAACAGCCATGGCACGGGAAGTGTGTAGCCTGATATATCTGCTCCGATACAACAACAAAAACACTTGCACAATCTGTGTGTTAAGTCACAGATTATGGCGTCTAATATCACAGCACTACATTTACTGATGTAATTAGCACCACACCTCCTTTTGTACACATTTTTTAAACATGCAATAGACACGATAAGCACGAGTCTTCATAGTTCTGGCAAAAAAGGTATCTATTTTTCTGGCATAATTCATATGTATTAGAAAGACTTCTGGCAGAGAAGATGAAGCTTTCCATGCTGGCCACATAAATGAGAACCATACTTAAAATTACCTAAATAATTACTCACAAAAATCTCGCAGAGTGTCTTCTTGTGCATATACCACACTGCCCCCCACCCACATGCTGTATCTCAGCTTAGATTTTTATTTACTTTTCAGCTTAAGCCCATTAATTTTCCTCTGTACACCAAACTATGGGTTTTCAAGCATTCCTTCAGACGGTGGTGTCAATACCATTCCCTCAGCATGTGAAACAGGAGAATTCAGTTCCCTCCCCTGTCAAAGGACATTTAAGCCCCACGTCTTTCACCTCTCACGAGTAGGCTGGTGAGAGCTCTGTGGAACATGGGTGGGTTGCAGTTCCACTTTACATTGAATACTAACCGATTCACTGAAAGAGAATCCAGTCTTTCGGCTACTGCTTAGGGGAGCCACCTGCACATGTCCCAAATCCAGATCCAATTAGTAGATGCCTACAAACAGACTAGGTCCACCTCAGGACTGACATTACTAAATTGCAATATTAACAATGTTGCATAGACTTCTATGCAGAAAAACAGCAGACAACCCTCACCTAAATAATCTCATTCTCCACTTGAATAGTGGAAACCAACCACTCTGCACTACTTCCAATAGATAACTGAATAACTACTGGGTCATTTTTCTGTATCGCTTTTCTTGTACATAAGCACAATCACCATGACAACATCAAATATTCAGTAACAAATATTTTACAGTTGCTAGCTAACATCAAACACACAGAACAATTATAATTACCCCATAACAGCTTCAAAGACATTCACTGCATGCACCTTTTTGCATGTCTGTATGTAAATATGTACATATATATGCACATCAGTATAAAAACCTAAGCTTCCAAAACAGCAAAGGTGAACATTACTTTTAAACTGAAACAATGGCTGATTTTAGCACAAATAAGTCACTACTCCTCCACAAATGTTAAACACTGGAAAAAAGACGACCACCATGATCTACTGTTATCAAAGGTACTTTCCCTGACCAAGCAACTTCGAAAGGAGACTTACTGAGACTTGAAAGAAGAAAAGATTGAGATATATGACAGAAGACTGAAGAATAAGAGAGAAAGGCAGGAAATTAAGAAAATTAAGGCTACAATAAGTCGTAAGACAACACAACAATGGATGTGTCGTGACATGAATATTCTCTGGTTTTCCAACCTGAAGCAATTGTATAAATTGTGGATGGATGGCTTATTCATGCAGTTAAAGGCAATTCAGAAGAGAATTTGTACAACATGATTTCCAGGTTTATAGAATCAATACGTTTTCCGTAATCGGTGCCTGCTATCTGCAATACTCCTTCTCTTAGAAGCCAAAGCTTCATACTGTTTTTGACATCATTCAAAACAGAAACACCTTATCAAGAAGTGCAAAATTATAATACTAAATACAAGAAGTCTAAAACATTTTTATAATTATTCTTTTTAATTAGTCATTAATAGAAGTATTAAAATTATTAAATTCATCAAATAGCTCCTAGAATATAAAGGACTGCTCTGATTTTTAATGAAGTATTACCTAAGACTCTAAATAATAATGAACTGAAACAGAAAAAATCCTCGAAACAAAAAAACCAAAACTTGTAATGCCGGAAGTTGACCCTCTTGCTAATATAGATTCATTGTTCTTCAGACAAGGCTAAAATAGTCATTTACCAATCCAAACTATTTTGCAGTAAGGGTGGTGGGTCTGGCCAACTACTCAATTTGAGCTCTCAGTCTCAGAATATTCACATATTAGAGCTGAACAACATGTTAAAAACAAAGCAAACCACACACACACACGAGCCAATCTTGAACAACACAGTGAGCAATGAAATGTAAGCCTATAATGCTTGTTACGTACCAAGATGTTGAAATTTTCTATTTTGAGAGAAGCAGCTATGTAACAGTGAGATCAATACTCCTGACCAGAACCACTCTACTCTAAATACTGAATTTGAAGCAGTACCAGAACAAGCATACCATTAAGCCTCCTCTGAATTGCTTCTTCCTCTAAAGTGATGATATACATCTGCTCATCTAGGTCTTCAAGGATCTGTATTTGGAAACAGAAACATGAACTGACTGAGTATCAGAGTCACTTGTTTTTCTGACTGCACTAATCTAGTCAGGTTCATTTTGTTCTAGTAACCTATATTTTAAATATATAGTCTACAACTTTACAATACTGATACAAATAATAACTCCACAGAAGATTATTCTGTTACAGATCTATTTCTTTACTGTAAGCAAACTTTCTGTTAAGTTTTCATTTCAGGTTAAAGCTCTTATGTTCAGTTTCAGCCTAAAGAGACTTAGGGAACAGGGGAAGGGACAGTACATCTGACCTACATTCAAATCATATCAGCCTATCAACCTTCACACTCTACTTGATTTAAACAAAAGTAACTGCAGATTTTGCAAAAGTATATTAAAAAGTGACTTTTCACATAAGCCAGTATTTCAAGCAAATATACATTGCTGTTGGAAGCTAAAACCACATAAATGAAGCCTGTCTACCTTACTATCAGGTGCCTTGAGTTTAAAGCTTACAGATAGCAAAACAGTATATATTTTCTTTGTATTTTCAAGGTTGAACTGACTAATGAAAAGGAACGCAAGACCTAAGTACACCCAAATTTTAGTAAATACAAACTAGGAGACATGACAACAAAGTCACTAGAGCACTCGTACATGGAACAAACTTCTCCCCTCGCAGCACTAAGTACAAGAACAGTATTTATGTATAAGAATTTCTTACAGATGCCAACTACCTACATTTCACCCATCTAAGTATACCCCCAGGTACCCTTCTTGTTATCCAGCCTTAATTTGGTCTTGTATCCTTTGCTCCTGAACTCAGAACAGGCCCACATCTTTCAGGCATTTGCAAAACAGACATAGTAGGCAATACTGGCAATAAATATTAATACCAGTAGCTGTTATATTAATTGGAAAATCAGAGGAAGTCTACACAGTTAAAAACCACCTTTTTTCTCTGGAAAAAAACAGGCTTTTGTGCTATATGAAAAATTTTAAACAAGTACACAAATATTGACTATAGAAACTCTCATGAACTGAAGAGAGAATTATGTAGAAGTGCAAGCATTCTAAAAGAAAGTACCCTAATGCGATTCTACCTTATAATAGACAGCACATGAGGACAGATTTGTGTAACACTTACTGTTGGCTTCACGAGCAACTGACCCATTACTGTAAACATCCGTGAAAGTCCCACTGGTGTGCATACTGCAGAGGAAGAAAGATTATGCAAAACAGTGGTTTGTAAGTCAAAGACCAATTTTTATTTTGATGTGCAATGTGCTATTCCACATATAACCAAGCATAGTTTTGAAGAGAACTGCAAAGAGCTTCAAACTCTGATATGAATTTAAAACACATTGCTATCATATGAATTTTGAAGATGACAAGCACCTCTCCCCTCCAAGAGCACAACTGTGAATTTTTTGTCAACAAGGAACACCATATAATCAGATACCTTAAACTTGCTCAAGTAATTATTTATTCAAAGCATGTGGCACCAGAGGCTATGTCTACACTAGCAAATTCAGCAGTGCCAGGATACATTCCTGGGCATTAAGACTTCATTGCCTACACTAGTAAATTGCTAGAACTATCCCTGGCATGATTTGCCCTGGGCCAGTTAGCACTTTCCCAAACAATCCTCAGGTGCAGTTCTGGAGTTATACAGTCCAGGAACCATTCTCATGAGGTAATACGTACACAGCCACCTTCCACAAACTGCAATATCATGGATCAAACGACACTAGTTCACCATAGCACTGGAGAACATCTCAGGCACATTTTATCTATTAGCACAGGTGTAGCTGTAAGGTCAAGAAATCAAATGCTTTGCTCTGAAAGTTATACTGCAACTTCAGTTGATAGTAGGCTCAGCTACCAGATTTTAAGCTACTTTTCTATGAAATAACAATTGGCCCTTTTTGATCATAGCATGTTATGGTTTCCAGCTATGGTACATATACGCTTGTTGGGAGAAAGGCTCAAACCATGATAATAGAAAATTATTAGTAAAAATCAACACTTTAGGGAGAACAGCCTTCAGGTACTGAATTGCATAGGAAATGGAAGGGATTTGTAACAGCATGTATGAGGATATATATTTATAGTTTCCATTACAATAAAAGAGTGTTGCCAAAAAAAGAAGCAGCACACACAAGATTTTATAGTAAGGATTACATTTATTTTTATTAACTAGTGTTTCGCTATGACTACTATGTATTACAGGAAAAATACAAGAGTATTCAAAAAAGCTAACTTAAGTTAGTCTTCCTTTACTACAGAGGAAGCCTGCAGGAAAAGGAGAACAGGGAAAGGAAGCAATGCTCCAAATCACCACCACAGTATGCCTTACTCATACATTGCCTCAGCAATTACACCAGCTGAAGCTCTAATGAAGCTCTACCCCAGCATCTACCACTTTCCCATCGCTGTATGCTGCCCTTTCAGCTACACAGATATAACAGCTTTGAGGACCTTAACTCACTTCAGTGATTTGCTTGTGTAAGTTACAATTAACTTCCAAAAACTGGCATTAATCCCAATTATTTTGGTGAACTAGTTTACCATAGCCCCAGAACATACACTGTTTTTTCAGCTCTGCTGAAACAAAGTGCAAGACAGATGCAGGAAGTTTGTAAGCCAACTTCCCCATTAAAACATTCAGCAACTGTTGTGAATCAGACTCTTGAACAGCCTACATGAGACATTCAGAACCACTTTTTTTTACTTCTCCCCCTCCCTCCATTAAAGTGAATTTAAGAATCTCCACATACAGAGAACCTAAGGAGACTCACCAAGGTCTCAGTGAGAAATACCTTTCATAGGTAGATTTGCTTAGTTTTAAGAATATTTCAAACTATCCTTCCCCACCCTTTCTCCACAATAACAGCCCTGTAAGTGTTACCTGTAAACGTATAAAGCCTGGAGAAGAGGTGAAACCATGATCATCTAGAAAGAGAGATGTTCTGTCCCCCTCTCAGCAATTTTCTAGAAATTATTCGGGGGGGCAGCGCTGAAATTGTAAGCGGGATTTGGAGCCTTCCATCATCTTTCCTTATTCCCCTTAACATATGACTGAACTCTGACTAGGACCAGTTGGTATAAGATTGGAGTTTTTTTACTGCATTTGTTTTATATGCAATCATATAACACCTCCAGACTGGCCAGATACCAGTTTTGTGATTATGAAGGCTAATTGCTCTGTGTTCCAACTTCTGTCTATACAGGAACATTTTCAATTAAAAAAGGAAGAAGGATAGCTTACTGAATTATAGGACAAACTAAGTGTTCCAACATAACTTTCTCTTCATACTACTGACCTCCTGCAGACATTTCATTTAAAAGCTGTGCTTTTCTTTGCAGAATGGAGTCCCTATTTTTCAAATACCTGCTTTAAAAAGTTAAAAGTTGAAATTATTTGGGGTGAGGTGTGAAGTTCCTCAAAACCTGAAAATGCAACGTAGCATTTGTTCAAACTTCAGAACCCAAACCTAACAAATTTACATGTAAATTTAAACTTAATAATGAAAAAAAAAAAAGAATTCACACTCTTAAATTTCACAATCTTCATTTTCACAATGAAAAAGTTTCCTTTAATCTTTAAAAAAAAAATATAAGTCATTCATCTTTTAGAATAATCAGGAAGATACTTACACAGAAGTAACAAGCATCCCATCAGTGATATACAGGAATATAAATATGGGAGGTAGAATTCCCAGAGGTCTGTAAAGAAAATATGGAGCACAGCCTTAGCTTATTACAAATCCACTACTTATGTCACAAACACAACTGAATTAACTTCTTAAGCATTTAGGATTGAACAATTGTATTTTCAAGAATAAATTAAGAATTACTCAGTTAATAATCCTGCAGGCAACTAAATTCCCAAGTACTTTAGCTTGAAAAATATCTTCAGCTTTTACTTCCATTCCACTTAAGTCACTTGTTTTTAGCATACATCATGTCCACATGAGCATGGAACTTCTCAGCATGCTAAAAACGGATTTAACAGAAAAAAATGGTATTGAGTAAATTAATACAGATTCTTCACAACCTGTGCAATACTCACGTGGCATTTACTAGAAATACATTTAATTGAGAACATCCATCTCCACAATTAAAATCAAACTAATGTGGTGGTTTTTTGAATTCCATACCATATAAAGACTCCATACTGGCAGCATCATTGTCTATGAGTGCTGAAGCCACCCATACAATTCCAAGGATAAGCAGTGCAAGAAGAATAAGCATGACAAGGGTTTCCAAAATGCGTGCTCTGATGCCCTGTGGGCAGAAGAGGGAAGAGAGAGGAAAGAACACAGCCAAGAACTTTGAATCAGATATTTTCAAACATAAGAAAAATACAAATAAATAGCAGTTCCTTCTTCCTAAATATATACTCACATTTTATCAGGTAGACAAAAGCATAACATGTAATGCACATTTAAAAGGCAGTGCATAAAAAAAGGAAGTACTTACGGCTTTATAGTGCCCAGACTGCATTTTTCCCCTTAAAACCATAGAAAAATGTTTTAAATTGCATATGCCTTACAGTTCTCATTAATCTCATTATTCTGTAAAGTATTTTTTATACCATATGATTTTGCTCAAGCATTTTTAAAAGATGGATTACTTTTCTAATACTTTCAGCAAAGAAAGTGGATTAGCAAATTTTTATCTATGATTCCAATCAAGGGAATGGAAAGCCAATTATGGCAAGTAGCCAAATGGCCCAGCAAGCATTAAACACTGCGCAGGTACAATGCGCCAATTTAGTTAAAATACATTCTTCAACTGCAATTGCTTCCGCACCATTCCTCGCAGTCTTCGGAGCCCTCAAGTGTACAGTCGGAGTACTGCTCACTCCTTGGCTGCCCACACACCGCTGCTGCTGCTGCAGCCGCATCCATCACCTCCCATCTTCGCATGCTCTGCGCTGAATGGATCGTGTACTTCTCCCTCCCAACACACACAAATCACAGGTCTACAAGGTTATATATCATAGCATTTGCTCTTGAGTCTAAAAGTGTAACAAAGCTCTAATAATCAAATGTTAGATTTGCAAATGTAAATATACAAAATAATACGTAAAATCATATTTACTTTTTTTTTACTGGTGTTTTTAACACTAATTTTACTAATTTCAAGCAACAGAGCTATTGGGACACTTTCTTCAGACATCCTTGCCATTAAGTGACCGTCAGATTGCTGCTCACATAACAATTTCATTTTTCTCCATTTGCCAGTATACACCTCCACAAACAAACCCAATCTCTTGCTTCTCACACAGGTTCACTCCAGCTTGGGCATATTCCACTGAAAAGCCTACTTTATAGTTAAAAGCAGAAAGTTTGGTTTACTTTATTGTTTATCTACTTTTATCACCTCTTCCCTCACTGCTTAACACAAGAGGGTTATCTGTACATGACATTTACCCTGAAAATTATGCTCTCTACATAACCACTGCATCCAACCATGAATGAGAACCTCAGACATCCTAACCATGAGCATTGATCTCTTCTAGCACACCAGTTCCTCTCTGCCATCAGTCCTCTGCAAAAAGCTACGGCAGGCACAAAGTAAAAACAGACAAAAAGAGACCTTCACAAAATTCCCCTTAAGGCTTAAGTGGGCAGATTAAGTCCAACTCCATAAAGGACATCAAACGCCAAATTTCAAATTAAAGGTAGTAGAGGTAGGATATGGATTTACTCCTAGAATGTAGTCTGTGTACAATAAAAGTGGATTTGAGGTTGTTAAAAGCTACCAAAATGTTAATTTTGTAGTGCTCAGAAACTAGCTTTCAGTCTTCCAGAAGTTATTTCAAAGGTGAGCATCTAAGCCAAATACATGTATTTGAAGATTAAATAACCATATGTTTAGTATTCAAGTTTTGAACTTGAGCAATAAGTTACAAGAAAAGAAACAGATTAAGGTTTAAGTACCGAGCACTAATACAGAGCCTTCACTTAACAGAAGAAAGTTACAGGATTAGAAGAAGACCCAAAACATTCAAGGATGCATGCACAGAGATCTGCTTCAAGCTTTCCAAAAACCTTGCAGACTCCTTTCCTCTCCTAGGCATAGGAAAATATAAAGCTACCTCCTGGGCTTCTGAAAGCCTTAGCCACAGAAAGTGGATTCCTTACTCCCCCACTATGAGACACATGCACAAATTTCAGCTTCTCTGACTTCAAGTTTCACAGCAACAGATTCTTCTGGACAAACTTGGAAAATACTTCGTTTTACATGGCAAGCCAAACACCAAATCCTCCTCCCTTGGATAGAGTAGCACAATTGTCAAAACAGATAAACAAGAAATATGCTGCGATGGAGATAGTCAACCGTAAATAATGTTTTTTTCATATTTACTACAAGTGTTCTCTGAAGACAGGTAAGATTAGGATAACACATATAACACTCTCAAAAAAAGACAGGTGACCACAGCAAGCACTCAGAGGTAACCACTGCTTTTGGCCAAAAGTACTGTTGGCACAAACTCTAGAAAAAGCCAGTGAGCTGCCTAATGAGCCTTCCCCATTTTTTGGTTTCCATGCTAGTTTGAATAATCTTTGGTTCTCAGAAAATTGGATCAATCTCCTTCTGTTCTCACTAGTGACACCTGTCTCCGCACCTATGTGATATATCAACAATACTGCAGTCTCGTGTATGTATTGAAAAGCATAGGCACTAATGAATACCTGGTAACAGTCCAGGATTTAAGGGAAAAAAAAAGATTAAGATGCTTAAAGCATATAGGTAAATACTTAATCTCAATTAGGCACCCATAAGACTGTGCCCTATTAAAACATTAATGTTCCAGGCACATTAGTTCATATTTACACACATTAATGTACCTGTCAAATAGCTGCTATTTGCAAGAAATGAAAGGTGCAGAATTTCCCCCCATGTGCGCACACAGAGGGAAAACTTCTGGAGAACCACAGAATGGCTGAGGTTGGCAGGGACTTCTGGAGGTCATCTGGTCCAGCCCCCTCCTCAAGCAGGACTACCCAGAGCCAGCTGCCAGGACTCCGTCCAGGCAGCTTTTGAGCACCTCCAAGGATGGAGATTCCACAACCTGCCTGGGCAACATGTGCCAGTGCTCAGGGACCCTCACAGTAAGAAAAAAAAGTGAGACATGAGCCTTAGACACCCTTACCACTTCTTATTTTTGCTGAAGGTAGTTTTGTTTGTTCAGGTGAAAAATTTAAAGCTTGAACATTACCATTAGTAACACCACTAATTTTAGAGCTGGGTAAAAATCTATACTCCTGACTTTGAGAACAGCAAGAAAAGACAGGTAAATACAAGCAACATTTAGTTTTATTTGAGTGAAAGCAAAACTATGCAAATAAACCTTGAAATTCAACGCTGAACTTTTTTTTTTCCTGAGCAAAAACCTCTTCACTGACATTTTGGTTTTGGCTTAATATTTCTTTGAGTCATTTCACTTCTCTCCCACAGCCCCATTATATTACTCAGATTTCTTAGATGAACCAAATGTCATGGCATACCTTCATGGCACAGAAGATATTGCCACTTCCATTTCACATAATACTTGTTGCACTTTTTTAAATCCATTTACTCCTCACATTTTTTTGTGTGAAAGGGAGCATCAGAGTCTGCCATCTTCAAAAATAGCAACAATCCCATTAAAACTGGAGATTTCCAATCAGCTTGTAAGAGTACATTTATTGCTCATGTTCAGTCTACACCATCGTATCTGTCTTGAATACAGAGTTAACAAATGAGTACAATATGAAAAAACATGTCATGTAGGTATGTAGGACTACTTCAAATTAGCATTCTAACAAAGCAAGGAAAAACAGTCATACAGCACTAAATCTTAATGTCAAGTTAACTGTGTGTGTGCACATGCATATGTATGTCCATGTACAAGTGCAGGTAAGGGAAGAAGGGGGGAATAGTCACCTTTTAAATCAGAGTTTTCCAATTGAAGTGTTTAACTAGGAGAAATTGCCTCACGAGCTCCTATGATCACTGCTTAACAGTCTCACAGAAATTAAACTGACTGTAAGAGGAATGGGAAAATAACTTTGTATTTTTAGCTTGCTTTATTGTATTTGAGAAGGAAAATTAAGTTGTCCAAGTCTTCATCTAGTCTTCTTTTCCTACTGGTTCTGACAGGTAAGAACAAGGAAAGTAAGCACTATACTACCAACCAGGTCGCATCAGGTTTTTCAGAAAGTTGTTCTGGATCTCAACTTTCAAACCTGCATTTGTGTCCTGGTTTCAGCTGGGATAGGGTTAGTTTTCTTCTTAGTAGCTGGTATAGTGTTTTGGATTTAGTGTGAGAATGACATTGATAACACACTGATGTTTTAGTTGTTGCTAAGTAGCACTTATCCTGAGTCAAGGATTTTTCAGTTTCCCATACTCTCCCGGCAAGCAGGTGCACGAGAAGCTGGAAGGGAACATGGCCAGGACAGCTGACCCCAACTAGCCAAAGGGATATTCCGTACCGGAGAAGATCAGGCTCAGTAGATAAACTGGGGGAGAGTGGGCCGGGACAGGCTGATTGCTGCTCAGGCATCGGTCAGCAGGTGGTGAGTAATTGCATTGTGCATCACTTGCCTTTTCTTGGGCTTGTTTTTTTATTATTATATTCCTTTTCATTACTGTTATTATATTTTTATTGTTAGTATATTTTATTTTACTTTAGTTATTAAATTGTTCTTACCTCAATCCATGAGTTTTACTCCTCCCCCCCCCCGATTACTCCTCCCTGTCCCACTCAGGGGGGAGTGGAGCAAGTGGCTGCATGGTGCCTAGCTGCCAGCTGGGCTTAAACCACGACAATTTGATAACACAACTACTACTTCATGCTTAAGGTGTCCTTCATAACAAACATAAAGCATATACCACAACTAATTCACTGTCTTATGAATTATTTTAATGCAATTCTACTTGCAGTTTAACCTGTTTTAAAGGAAGAGGCATTTATTTATTTCCAAACCAAGCTTGGATTGCACAGTAAAGCACCAGAAGGATATCTCCAGGATATTGACACAGTTAAGGAAAAAAGACTGGTTTGCATCTATCCTGTGTTCTAGTACTTACAGAAGAATTCAAATGTAAGATGCAGACTGAAACAAATTATAAATGCCTACACAGCTTATTAAGTGGGGGTATAAGGAGAACAACCTTGACACCACTATCAATTAAAATATCAAGCTCAGATTTCAGTACACTATTAACTACACAGCCCTAAATAACAGTCCCATGCTGTAGAGCTATGAGATGAACACAACCATAGCCTT